ACTTATTTTTGACGTGACAACGTCTTATAATTCGATGGAGCCGGCTGCACGCACGAAAAAACATAACTCATGCGGCGTTACCTCGCCCTGAGGCGTTCCATTTAAGGCTTGAAGCAAGAGCGCGGAACGAGCGACAAAGAGGCACAATCGGCCTCCGCGTTCGCCAGCGTTCGACATCTGTCTCTCTCCTACTTGAGTGAACGATGCGTCCGAGTGGACAGCTGCTATACAATAATACATTTCCATTTATCTCCTTCTCTAAACAAATAAAATTAAAACTTTCTTTTGAAAAATGAAACCATTCCATCAGTATTTTCTTATGACGTTGTCACGTTCAACTATCGTCAGTAAACCGACTTTACAGACAACCAATTTTTTTACTAACTACCAGATGACCGACATGAAAGAAGCACGTATCGACGAAGTATTGGAAAATTTAGCTATCACTAGCCTAGTATACTTGCCCAACGAGCCAGTATTGCCTACCGAATTCGTCGAATTAAATCTCCAACACAGGGAGAAAATTGGTAAGTGAGAATCCCCCCTTAGATCCATTTTCCATATTAAGTTAATATTTCTCGAACAGTTGCCGAAATCGAATTGAAATCGTACAACGTGGAAAAAACAGTGGTAGATTTAATAAACAAGTTCTTGTTTATGATGAAGGCTCCGGAACTGCAGGAAAACAAATATGAGTGGCTGGAACCGGAAAAGGCAGTGAGACCGGTCGGTTCAGCTTCAAAACTTTTATCGGGCGGAGAAGCTGCGGCTTTTAAAGAAATTGACAGGAACATCCCGTTAGATTTAACAGTCATTCATGCTGATTGTATTGAACTGTTTGGCTATTTCAATATGAAATTTATTGAGGCTTTAGTTAGATGTACCAAAATATCACTGGAATTACTGAAGATGAGAGCTACATTTACGGGGTAAGTTTTAATGAATGCTTTTGTTTTTTAAAACCCTCTATAAATAAGCTTGTCTAGCCAACCAACTGCCCTACTAACTGATTGCCAAACCGCAGCCGGAACTGTTGGAACGATTTGAATAAAATTTTGAATAAACGAGCCTGTCCTGACTGACCAACCAACTGACTGATTCATGACCAATGCGGAGCTGAAACTATAACATCTATTTAAATAAAATTTGGTACCTCTGTATATAGGGTAGTATGTCTCATGATCAAGGATTGGGTCGATTTGAATATCGACTAATTGACAGACTGGTAATCGACACGCAGCCAAAGCTAGTGGGTCGTTTTGAATAAGCCATGTCAACTCCTTCTGTATATACAAAAGAGCTTGTCCTGACTGATCGACTAACTGACTGACATAATGAACGCCTAGCCGAAACTATTGATGGGTCGATTTGTATAAAACATGTCAGCTCCTCTATATACAAAGGAGCTTGTCCTGACTGATCGATTAGCTGACTGACATAATGAACGCCTAGCCGAAACTATTGATGGGTAGATTTGTATAAAACATGTCAGCTCCTCTATATACAAAGGAGCTTGTCCTGACTGATCGATTAGCTGACTGACATGATGAACGCGTAGCCGAAACTATTGATGGGTCGATTTGTATAAAACATGTCAGCTCCTTCTGTACAAAGGAGCTTGTCCTGACTGATCGATTAGCTGACTGACATGATGAACGTGTAGCCGAAACTATTGATGGGTCGATTTGTATAAAACATGTCAGCTCCTTCTGTACAAAGGAGCTTGTCCTGACTGATCGATTAGCTGACTGACATGATGAACGTGTAGCCGAAACTATTGAAGGGTCGATTTGTATCAAACATGTCAGCTCCTTCTGTACAAAGGAGCTTGTCCTGACTGATCGATTAGCTGACTGACATGATGAACGTGTAGCCGAAACTATTGAAGGGTCGATTTGTATCAAACATGTCAGCTCCTTCTGTACAAAGGAGCTTGTCCTGACTGATCGATTAGCTGACTGACATGATGAGCGCGTAGCCGAAACTATTGATGGGTCGATTTGTATAAAACATGTCAGCTCCTTCTGTACAAAGGAGCTTGTCCTGACTGATCGATTAGCTGACTGACATGATGAACGTGTAGCCGAAACTATTGATGGGTCGATTTGTATAAAACATGTCAGCTCCTTCTGTACAAAGGAGCTTGTCCTGACTGATCGATTAGCTGACTGACATGATGAACGTGTAGCCGAAACTATTGAAGGGTCGATTTGTATCAAACATGTCAGCTCCTTCTGTACAAAGGAGCTTGTCCTGACTGATCGATTAGCTGACTGACATGATGAGCGCGTAGCCGAAACTATTGATGGGTCGATTTGTATAAAACATGTCAGCTCCTTCTGTACAAAGGAGCTTGTCCTGACTGATCGATTAGCTGACTGACATGATGAACGTGTAGCCGAAACTATTGATGGGTCGATTTGTATAAAACATGTCAGCTCCTTCTGTACAAAGGAGCTTGTCCTGACTGATCGATTAGCTGACTGACATGATGAACGTGTAGCCGAAACTATTGAAGGGCCGATTTGAATAAAACATAGTAACTCCTTCTCTGTATACAGAGAAGTTTGTTCCGACTGATCGACTAATTAATTAATCGACGACCAATGAGCAGCCGAAACTATTAAGTCAATTTGAATGAAATTTTTACATCTTCTCTATATATAAAGGAGCGTGTCCTAATTGATTAATGATCAACACACAGCCCAAACTATTGGACCAATTTTAATGAAACATTGACATCATAGTCTGACTATTACTTGTGGGCGTACCAAAAACAAATTTCTCGAAAATATTATTCCAGGGGGGTCGAAAAAGAAAAACAAAAATTAACAAATTTCAAGTAAAGTTAAGTGGAGTATCACTACGGCTAACGTAATCCAGTTAAGTTGAATTTCCCGAAATTTTCTCTATGTAAACCCTGTACCGTAAAAATTAGATCACTTTATTAATAAAAAGCAATAAAAACAACAATCTCTGTTCATTTCTATTTCTAAAGAACCTCCGACGAGGAAAAAGTGGCACCGCTCATGAAAACATGGATTGAACTTCATATTCCTATTAACACTATTAATCCCACATTGGATACGATACAAAGTTGCTTTGCTCAGGTTCTGAACAACGTACTAGAGACAATCAAAGATATAAACGTCTGGGGAAAGAGAGTAATAAGTGGGGAAAAGACGTATGGTGAGAAAACCACATATTTAAAATTAGTAACATTTCAACATATGCATAGTGTTTATTTACTTAAATAGAGAAAAAAGTGTTGAGACTCACCGCCCTGAAGCTGAAGAAACGTCTTCATCTTTTGGGCACCACACAAACTAACCTGTAATAAATAAAAAATTAATTCTTTTAGATATCATAAAAATAAAAGACATACAGTAGTCGTCAATGATGTGTTACATCTGTCAGTGACGAATAAAATTGTTATGAAAATATTACAATCGTGTGCTGAGTGATTTCACATATTTTGTACTAATGAAATTATTTTTTTTAATGCTACAATTATTTCAAACCCCCTTGTCTCTTCAAGTGCAAAAATAGACAGCATTGATTGAATAGCGTGCACTTCCAATCTCCCAAACTTCCTGAATCTGACCAATAAGATGTTGCACATCAAAAATCTTGTTCAACTAACAGCATCGCTTCAGAAATGATTCTGTTTATAAAAGTAATAGTTTTCGTTACCATGACCGTTTTGTACTTTTTAGACGTAGGAACCAAAGAATTATTTCAAATCAGTTTCTGAACAGAAGGAAATTGTCCGAATTTTTATGGGGCTACAATTATTTCAAAACCCCTTGTCTTCAAGTGCAAAAAATAGACAGCATTGATTGAATAGCGTGCACTTCCAATCCCCCAAACTTCCTGAATATGACCAATAAGATGTTGCACATCAAAAATCTTGTTCAACTAACAGCATCGCTTCAGAAATAATTCTGTTGTTGTAAAAGTAATAGTTGTCGTTACCATGATCGTTTTGTACTTTTTAGACGTAGGAACCAAAGAATTATTTCAAATCAGTTTCTGAACAGAAGGAAATTGTCCGAATTTTTATGGGTTTACAAGGTGTTATGTATTTATTGCAGCCAGACGTTCAAAAGCTTTTAAAGGTAACAAAGTTTCCGTTCGTTTACACTTTTTAAAGGTAGTTTACAAAAAAAACTCTTGCTTTTTCTTCGTTTTAGAGTTATCTATCCTACTCGTTCTTATGGGTTGAAGATAGGGAAGATCAAGTTAGCGCATTTGCCAACAAAGATCCGTTAATAGTAGAAATTACTGAACAATTCTGTGAATATGATGCTCGCGCTGATGAAATCCGAAATTTACCAGAAATACATGATATCGGTGCTATAAGAGTTATTATGGGTAAAATTTAGATTGAACACTACTTATTTATTTTACAAAAGATTGATTCCCCTTTCATTTCAGAAAATTATAAATTAGCACTTCTTGTTGAATCCGAAGCATGGAAACACCTGCTAGGCAAATATTTAGGAGTCATTTATAAACAAAAATTAAATGACATGGTAAATTTCATTAAAACCCAAGAAAAAACATTAAGTAGGCCAATAAATGATCTAGATGACTGCAGGTATGCAGCTTCTCCTTTTATTCCTTTTAACTCCTTATATCGTACATTCGATAGACTAAATTGTTTTGTATTTAACACAGAATTGCCATGGCGTGTCTAGCAGTTATTCGAGAACATTTCATTGAAATGGATATGGATCTAGGATTAATGGAAGAAGCATACGCCATGTTCCTTAGATTTAAAATTGATGTTCCTAAAGAAGATATTGACAGGGTGGACACACTGCGCTTCAATTTTACCAATATGATTAATCACGTACTGATTTCAATTTCACTTCTATCACTTGAAGAATTAATTCTCTTTCTTTTCATTTTTTGTTAGGCTAAACAAGTGACAGAAGACTTATGCATGAAGCAAGGTCCATTCCAACAAGAACTCATCCGGGGAGTTGCAGTATTCATAGAGGATGTACAAAAGTTCGACGAAGATTTCGAAAATAATGGACCCATGATACCAGGATTAAGTGCTAGAGAGGCGAGCGACCGAGTGCTATTGTTCCAAGCCAAATTTGACGAGCTATGGGGCAAATATGAGATGTACAGTAGCGGAGAGTCACTCTATGGAATGGAGATACATGAATATCCGGCCCTGCACAAAAGGAAGAAGGAATTCAATCTTCTCAATAAACTTTACGGACTGTATCTGCAGGTCAATCACACCATCGATGGATACTTTGATATTTTGTGGTCGGATATAGACATTGAAGAGATTTCCGCTGAACTACTTGAATTCCAAAACAGGTTTGTTGTTAACAGAATTTTGTCAACGATCATGCCAATTTAATGGTTTTTATTTAAAGATGAAACTCTTTGTTTCCATAAAATTCATTCCTTCTATTACAGGTGCCGTAAACTACCAAAAGCTATGAAAGATTGGCCAGCATTTCTCGAGTTGAAGAAGAAAATCGACGACTTCAATGAAACGTGTCCTTTATTAGAAATGATGGCCAATAAGGTATGAGAATTGTTTAAATTGAATTGATTGCTTCAATGATAATTTGCTTTCCTTGAATCTTCAACAGGCTATGAAGGATCGGCATTGGAAGCGAATGTCTAAAGTTACTGGTTACCCTTTCGACGTCGAATCTCCAACGTTTACTCTAAAAAGCGTCATGGAAGCACCTCTATTGAAATATAAAGACGACGTTGAGGTAGAGGCTATGTTCTTGAAACTAATAGTTCCCGTAGTATAAGATTGAGAGCTAATTCAACAATAAATAATAATTTTACCATTTTACAAAGTACATTTCTACATAATTATTAGGATATCTGCATTAGCGCAATTAAGGAGAAAGAAATTGAGGCAAAACTCAAACAAGTCATAGCCGACTGGGCAGTTGTAGAGTTATCTTTTGCTACATTCAAAAGTCGAGGTGAATTACTGTTAAAAGGTACCGAAACGGGAGAAATCGTTGCCATGATGGAAGACAGCCTTATGATTTTAAATTCCTTATTGAGCAACAGGTTCTTTTACTATGGTCAATAATTTCTGCCTGATATTTTAATCAACCATTTTCAGGTACAACGCGCCTTTCAAAAAAGACATACAATTGTGGGTTAACAGATTGGTATCGTCATCAGAAATCTTAGAAAAATGGATGCAAGTACAAAATCTATGGATATATTTGGAAGCAGTATTTGTAGGAGGTGATATTTCAAGGCAACTGCCTGCAGAGGCAAAACGTTTCAGTGTAAGTAAAGACTTTTTGATAGTTCTAGCCTGTGATAAAATTATAAGGCATGTTATACTTCGTGTAGTTTCTCTAGCGATGTGACCTTTAGTTTGGCCGACGCGAAGTAGAAAAGAACAGCACTAGGCCAGAAAAGAAAGGAGACAACTCTCGGTCAAACTCTTAATCGGCGAGGAGCGTATAATCCGTACAGTACTGCACGGAAAAATTGACCATTTTATCCACCAAAATTACATTGCTCAAATGTGCTGTTATTGGTACCAATTACTACTGATAATATCAACAAGATGTTTATTTATATTTGAAGACATATTAAAGGCTTTAACGAGTCGAGAGTATAATGAGCTTTTTTCTTCCTATCTACGATTTTGTCAGCGCGCATCCAAGACATTGGAAGGAGCACATCGCTAGAGAATGTAAACGAAGTATACAGTTACATTAAGCTTATAATTCGTACATATAATTTGGATCTTCTATTTGCAATCATATGACGAAGTATAGGTAAAGTATTGAGATTCCAGGAGAAGTCAGAATTACATGGACGAAATGTTGGGATCATGTAATTAAAGTAATATATGATAGCCCAAGCTATCAAGCTAGTGATACATGATAATCTCAAATCTCAGTAACTTCTGTCCAAAAAACAAAACCTAAAACAATAACATTGTTCGCAATTTTCAATTAAAACACTTGAAACAGTTTGCCTAAGGTTCGAAAAATTCAAGTTCATTCCAAAATGTCCCGGACATAGTCCACAGAATTGTTAGTAAGACCAGATCAATGGTCAGTTATGACCAAGTCTCAACCAAGAATAGGCATTCCACATGTACCACGACATAACAAATTCAAAAAATAGAAAGGCCTAATGAGTCTCAATTGTTTTGGACTTGGCAAAAACCCAATGTTTAACGCGGTGCATAACCAAAAGTTGACGATATAACAAAAACAAGGATTCTGAAGATAACGCAAAACAAAACAAAACCAAGACTTGGAATATGTTACAAATTCCAATATATATTTAAGTGATGTCATGTCTGTAGTTAATATATGGATTTGAGATTCCCGAGTTTATTGGTTATGGTCTAATTTGGTTGATAGTTCATACTAGAGCCATCAACCAAACTAAAACCAAAAACCTCAAACCACCAATATCTAATGCGCACGCCCAACACCAGAACTAGAACAGACTTCCATTTGTAACTCGCTAGTATGAAACATTTGTAGTATTCCAAGCATATCAGCAAACGTCACAAAATTAGTCTACAGTACTTTGTTCCAATTTTAGACAATTGATAAGACATGGGTTAGAATTATGTTCAGAGCCCGTGATATACCCAACGTAATAGAGTGTTGCACATCCGACGAAACAATGAGTCAACTGCTTCCACATCTTTTGGAACAGTTAGAAACCTGTCAGAAGAGTCTGACAGGATATTTGGGTAAGTATTGGGACAGACTCGGTCATGTCCGAGTCGTAGGGGTTTATGTGAAAACGTGACGATCTCCACTTACTTTTTGTCTTCGCGGGATTGTATGTAGTAAAAGGAATACAAAATACGAAATTATCGTCAGTTTTATAAGGTGACAGCTTTCTGAGTAAGAAACCGACATCAATTAACCGGATGTACCTATACAGGTAGCTTATAGATATCAAAGCAATAAGAAGATAACAAGGTGCTTGCTTGCCTTGCAATGAGGTTTTCTGGAATTTACCTGGGACAGTAATATTCCTTTCAATCTTCTACTATCTTCATCTTGTTGTTCGTCTCATCTTCCTCTTCATATCCACCATTCACCCATTTCCACAATTTCTAAAAGAATCCCTAGAGGATCTTCCTTCCTATCTACTACTTTGCAGCACGCCAGGGGTGGCTTCAACATCAATTTGCCTCCCTCCTTCAATCTCGCAAATTTATAAGGTGTTTGAGGCTTAAGAATGCAATAAAAAATAATCTTGCGTGCTTTCCAACCTGCCAATAGAAATCGGAGCGTAAAACGAAAAGCTTTCTTCAGTCTCCTTTCAGGAATCAAGATGGGTTGGGAAGAAAAAAGATGAGATGGACCACAAAATCAAACTAACCACACAGCTTTATTTGAACACTTTCCACATGTATGCACACCCCTTATAGTTTCGCTTCGTTTCCAAGAATCCTCTATCTCTAAAGATTAAATCGGTTGCTTCAATGAGTCCGCTGCTAATATATAGAATCATACATGCACAAGCTAATAACTTTATGTAGACGGTTAATTGATGTTGGTCCATTATTAACGAAGTTATTACATCAATAAAGCTTACACAATTGTGTTGGATCGAAAATTTTAATATGATTAGCAAATCGAGATTATAATCGTTTTTACTTCAAAGATTGGATTAAAGAATGTAACACATGCACCTACATACATTTCATCTTTAATTTTTTATTTTAGAATCAAAGAGACTTATGTTTCCACGTTTCTTCTTTATATCTGATCCAGTTTTGTTGGAAATATTGGGGCAAAGTTCAGACCCACATTCCATACAACCCCATCTTTTAAGTTTATTTGACAATGTGGCAGAGGTGAGCACAAACAATTGTGGATTAATTATAGAAGAGAACATCTTATACTTTTGACTTCTGGTTTGAACACCTCAAAAAGATTCTCCAATTTTTAATCACTTATGTAGGTACTCATCAAAATAACAATTTAATCCTAACAGGTTGAATTTCATCCCGAAATCTACGAGGATGTCATTGCTATGAAGTCTGACTTGGGTGAAAAGGTACCTCTCGAAAAATCGGTCCATTGTGTAGGAGGTGTTGAGATATGGGTCACTTCGTTGCTAAATGTTGTAAGAGACACCGTAAAAACTGTGATAGCGGGCATGTGCCAGTGCTTCGTTGATCCAGAATACGACTTCATCAAAGGCTTTGTTAATTATTGCGGTCAGGTTCGTACAATAACATTGTACTGTTAACGTATAGGGTACATCGCTATCGACTGTCCTGGTCACACCTTCAGAGTACCCTCAATTCTTATCATTAGCATATTTAAAGGTCGAAGATTCCCCTGATGCTTTCCTTTGATATTCCAAACGTGAATATCGAAGTTATCAAGAACCAGCATGTTTAATAATTTAGGTACCTCATTTACGTTCTTATGTAATTATTTAGGCCGGACTTGTTGGAATACAAGTTCTCTGGACAAAAGAAGCTGAACTTGCTCTAAAACGCTCTAGGATAGATCATCAAATAATGAAGAATACAAACAATCGATTTTTAGAACTACTGAATCAGCTTATCGACCTTACATCCCAAGATTTAACTAAACTTCAACGTGTGCGATATGAAACCATGATAACAATTCATGTTCATCAAAGGTAAGTTGCAGTCTTCTTTATTACTTATTAGAGGTGTGTAGTCAAATGTAAATATCAATAAATCAGGAAGATGTTAGGACATTAGATCAAGGCTTTTCCTGTACACTGTATTTTCATATACAGAAATTTTTCAATCTCATTTTCTTTTTTTTTGAAAATGGCAAATCCCTGATATAGGTCGGTTTTTGCCTTCAAGCCTAACTTTTGATTGTAAATTTGTGGATGTAAGAGAGAAAATACCACAAATGGCGCAGTAAACGCCATCTGTAGCACGATGCTACATTTTAGGATTACGTATGCTCCAACAAGGTCCACTTGTGTGTATATCTACTTGCTGAAACGGCGTAGTTAACCTCAACGTGAAAGGCACGTTACCATAATCGAATAAAATAACTCGAAGTGATCTGTATTCTGTCGAAACTGCCAGACGTGGATCGCGATTTCGATCTTTTGGATCTTTTTGAGGTTAGCTACGCCGGGATTCGTTTCAGCAAGTAGATATCCACACAAGTGGACCTTGTTGGAGCATACGTAATCCTAAAATGTAGCATCGTACTACAGATGGCGTTTACTGCGCCATTTGTGGTATTTTCTAAAAGGCGCTGTTAAGACAGCAGGTAAAAGTTGGTCTGTGTTCTGTCGGAGCTTGCTGCGACGCGCTGATGAGATCCAAAAAGATCGAAATCGCGATCCGCGTCTGGCAGTTTCGACAGAATACAGACCACTTCAAGTTATTTTATTTGTGGATGTAAGGATTATCCTTCATTCACGTCACGGGGGCAGTCTCCAGAAATGTTGAATGCATGGGTTCGGATTTTGGGAAGCAGTATTGTTTCCGTTCTCTTCTACTGTATAATTTGCCTTACTTCACTTTGCTTGAAGGCTTAATCTACCTTGGCATTGTGGAGATTCTTGAAAATGACGATCGGATTACAGAAAATGATGTATTTTTCAACAAGATGGCGCTCTGCTACACATGCAGCTCCTGTATGTAACTCATTGAATCAACATTTTCCCGGACATTAAATTAGTAGAAAGGGTTCAATTGAATGGGCTCCAAGGTCGCCAGATTCAACACCATTGCATTCCTTCTTATAGGACCTTTCAAAGGGTATTATTATCCTCAAAACCTATCTTTACACCACCGAATTGTGGCTTCATGTAATGAAATAACCCTTGAAGTACTGCAAAATATTCGGGAGAATGTTGAACAAAGATTTATTTTAATTACTGTATGGAAGTGAATGGCTTGAAAATTGAACATTTAAATAATTAAAGCATATTTGAGAATTTTTTATTATGTAATTACAACTACGTTTCCAACTGTATTTTCACATCAATTGTAATGCAGAACAAAGAAATGACAGCATTCTTGTAAAGACAATTGAACCCCCTTTAAAATGATGTTTCACTTGACCCCAGTTCTATTTACGATTATTGAAGAAGTTACTACCCCTTTTACAAGGATATCTTTACATTTATTAATTTACAAGCAAAAAATGTCTCTCTTGGAGATCAACTAGCCCTGTTTCAGGGATTTCCAAAGAAAACGTTTTCCAGGTTGAAAGTTTTAAATTCGCTATTTTGTACATCTAACAATTTGGTCAATGAACTCCGATAAGCCAGTCAAGTAGGACTTTCTTTTCTGATTTGATTTACACAAGAGCGGATCCAGAACCCAGATAAATGCAAGTTCTGGGTTGTACTCTCCATCAGGCGGCATTTTTCAAAATCCAGTAATTCCAAATACAAATTTGAATCACTTAAGTTGAGATTAATTTTTTTTACGTTTAAAAAGGGGACAATTATTATTTATTTTTATATTCAGCTAAGTAGTTCTAAGAATTACTTCCTGTTATCACCCTATAAAGGAGGTAGTTACATATGGATGAAATTTTAAATTCCTCAGGGATATTTTTGACGACATCGTACGTCTAAGGGTTAGAAGTGAATTGGATTTCGAATGGCAGAAGCAGGCGCGTTTCTACTACTACGAAGACAACGACGAACTTTTGGTTAGAATAACTGACGTCATTTTTATTTACCAAAACGAATACCTTGGAGTCACCGAACGGCTTGCTATCACCCCCTTGACCGATAGATGTTACATAACACTGGCTCAAGCTATTTGTAAGGGATCTAATCTCAAAAAATTAACAATCAGTCGCAACTTATAAGTTATTATTTAAGGGATGAACATGGGTGGTGCACCAGCTGGACCGGCTGGAACAGGAAAAACAGAAACAACGAAAGATATGGGTCGAGCTCTCGGAAAATTTGTTGTAGTTTTCAATTGTTCCGATCAGATGGATTTCCGAGGCTTAGGAAGAATATTTAAGGTAGATATCTCAATAATTTTTTTAATTAGAAAATAAATACCACCTCTATACCGACGTTTCGTCCCGGATGGGGACTTTTTCAAGGTACAAATGTTGTAAATATTAAGAAAACATGATAATAACTACATATTACGAAGATTATCATGTTTTCCTAATTAAATGAAGTTATATTCCGTTCACTTAAAGAAAAGTACACCGTGGCTCGTTACAGTCATTGGTAGGAGATACCATTGATGGTGTCTTTTTCTCTAAGTGAACTAACTATACATTCTGGGTGTGTTCTGAAATATAACCCAGCAAACTGACCAGTGCTGATGACGTAAAGAATCGACGCCATACTGTTGATTCGTTCCGAAATATACTGGCCAGTGCATTGATGTCAAATTGACGCCATATTGACAATAGTGTTTGTGCTCGTTTACAATAATTTTGCTCTAAAAGTTATTAATGTTTCTTACAATAAAAAATTCCTCAGTGTCTGATGCACACACGCCCGTTTGATATACTACCACATCACATTTGTCTCACCAGTACAACATGGTGGCACACCAGTACAATATGGCGTCGATTTATGACGTCATCAGCACTGGCCAGTATGTTGGGTTATATTTCGGAACACACCCTCTGTAAGGTCGTACATCGACCTTGCAGTTTAAGCTACTTAGTGTGCCGAAATTTCAAATCTTCTTAAAAATATAATGCACCAATTTTTAAATTTGACCACAAACTTACTTAACTTACTATTACGTAGTATTGTTTATTATAACAGTATTTATACATATGTCAATTTAGGGCTTGGCACAATCCGGATCGTGGGGATGTTTTGATGAGTTCAATAGAATTGAATTACCCGTATTGTCAGTAGCAGCACAGCAAATTTACATTTTATTAACTGCAAGGAAAGAAAGAAAACCGTCGTTTCTTTTCAGGTGATATGAATACTATCACATTTACTTTTTCTTTAATAAATAGAAATGTTAATACTTATAATTCATAAAATATTTTGATAACAAATGATGTCAATCAAAAGTACAAAGTTCTATTCAGGACTTTCGATTTCAATTATCTTTAAATATGATGCCTTCAACTGTAACTCACAAACTGAAGTTCCCAATGTCTAGGAGACTACAGGAAGTTCTTATACTAAATTGATATCTTACGAGATAGTAAATTTTCCTATACTTCCTGTTGATTTTATAGATTTTTGATGCTGTACCATGGCGTTTGCTATTATCTTACTTATATTTTTATTGTTTCTGAGCCATGAATATTTCTAACAAATAAAAACATTTATGTAGTTTCATTTTAAGTACCTACCCATTAATGTTTAGGCTTTTAATAATACTTTTTATATTTGCGAAATGGAGCAAGAGAAAACAGTGGTAAATATAAACATTAATCTTCCGTAGTGATGGAGATACAGTTACAATGAATATTGAGTTTGGAATATTTTTAACAATGAACCCCGGTTATGCTGGTAGACAGGAACTACCAGAAAATTTAAAGATTATGTTCCGGAGTGTTGCTATGATGGTACCTGACAGACAAATTATAATTCGCGTTAAACTCGCTTCGTGCGGTTTTCGTGATAACGTCACACTGTCAAGAAAGTTTTATACATTGTACGCCCTATGTGAAGAGCAGTTGTCAAAACAGGTACATATATACACTCAATAACATTAGAGATAGGGTCTGATAAGTATCATGATGGAGATAGAAAATGTCAGGGTACGCTGCGCGACGAACGACTGCGCATCAATTTTGGTATTATGCTTCATTTACTTTCTGTAGCGATATGCCCCTTCCAATGTCTTGGATGCGCGCTGGCAAAATCGTAGGTAGGGAGAAAAAAGGCTCATTGTACTCTCGACTCTTGTTCATTAAACATACTTTTTCATACAGTACCTGCCAAAAGTTTTGTTAAATCATGAATAGTAGTGCGAGTCGAAAACAAGCGTTAAAGCCTTTAATATGTCTTCAAATATAAATAAACATCTCGTTGATATTTTCACTAGTAAATGGTACCAATAACAGCACATTTGAGCAATGCAATTGTAGTGGATAAAATAGTCAATTTTTTCGTGCAGTACTGTACGGATTATACGCTCCTCGCCAATTAAGAGTTTGACCGAGAGTTGTCTCCTTTCTTTTTTGGCCTAGTGCTGTTCTTTTCTACCTTGCGCCGGTCAAACTGAAGGTCACATCGCTACAGAAAGTAAACGAAGTATACCAGTTGTCGAATAACACAATATGTAAACAAAAATCTCCTTGCCAACACGTCAAATCGGTTGCGCATTGTCTTACTGCGCAGTGAACAACCGACTACAACTTAATGATGCCCTTTCGGCCGGCGCTGTACTCTAAGCAACCCATATAGTTTCTCCTCCTGTCTCTAGTCTTCTTGTGTACAACTATTAAATAGATCATAGAAAAAACTCTTAGTCACAAATAAGCAAATAAAATTATGGCGCCATCTACTACAATAGTAAGGATAGATAGGTCTTGCAAAAACAGGCACAGATCCCGCCAGAACAAGCCACTACGTATTATCGACAGCAATACCACTACCAACACTAAATGTACTAGACCAAGACCAAGTCTAAATCTGCTAGGTACACCAAGATGAAAACCATATTAGTCTTGTCTTGGTCCTGCATTTGTTCATTACCATGCGTGACACCGTATTATTTACATGTTATAATGTTTTTTACGTCATTACGCCCTAAACCTTCCGAATCCCTGTGATCCCAAAGTTCCGCGGAACACATTTTAGAAACCTCTTATCTAGATTATACTTCTTTTCTCGCTCTGTTTGTCTGTCTGTATAGGCTAATATTCTAAGTGCTTAACTTTGGATGAGATTCCTTGTTAACTCAAATCAGGTTTTCACCTTGCGACGAACGAAGTCGCAGGGTGAAATCTAATTTCTAATATGAATTAAGATTCGAATCCTGATGCCAATAATTCTCATGTATCCTGTATGTCTAGGTACATTATGATTTTGGTCTTCGAAATATTTTGTCCGTTTTGAGAACTTTGGGCGCCCAAAAAAGAGCGCATCCTGGAGACACCGAGGAGACAATTGTCATGAGAGTACTAAGGTAGGTCAGAAAAATACCAAAATATCTAAAAACAATACAATAATACAGTTTTTTGTAAATGTATGACGTCAATGTTTTTGGATGCATCTTGGAATATTGTAAATCTAATCTAGACTAAAAATTTCCATCAGTATGTCCAATTGCATAGTATATGAAATTGACGAAACTTTGTATGGAGGACCTACGACCAATCAGAAAGTTGAGTTTTATATTTAACGAAAACCTCATTCGATCTTTTGAAATTGACACCCTTTGTCATTAATGACCACAAATAAAGGAATATACCTTTATGAGCGTGCTCCCAAGCGTGTTTTGAAAGGGTAAGATGCCAGAAGCATGGTGATGTACAATTTTTTGTATGACCTTTGAACGTCTTCATCACTAAACTCCACTGTGTATCCAATTTTCGGCCGAAAATATTGAAATGCCCGAAAATGAAGACGACTTACCATAAAATCTGGAGACATCGATTTTCAAATATTCTATTAACACACTTATAGTAGATACGACCAATTAAACTCACTTCGGATTGTCTCATAGCCTTATTTGCTTATGGTGTTTTACACTTTAGAAGACCTAACTGCTGTGTTTTCAAACCTTAAATTTAGAACCACAATCTAAAACGTTTAAAATTTAATATTTAAAGAAAGCTACAATAGCTAGCCAAAGGTATCTGAGGTCTGATAACATTTATGAATATTATACAATATAAATTAAAACATTATTTATTTTTATTATGACGCTATAGAGATTGAGTAGGGTAAACAGTTTAAAACAGGCCATAAGATTTTAGCTAAAGAGAAAATTCAATTTTCAGGGTAGTGTTATGGTCCCCCATATAAATCGAGTGTCTCAAGTCAGAGGGGCGTATCAACCTTTTCTACAAAAATTGAAGTGTTGGGCATATATGTATATTGCTTTTATTGATAAAAAGTAACAATACCCTCATTTGTGAAAGTATAATCACAAATTTTCGAACTGGATTATTCGCCCTTCTCACTTATTCTCAGTTCTTTCTCACACATTTTATTATGAGCAATTCTAGTCAGTCTTGTTTTCTTTTTTGACTTTCATTACATATTACCATCAAAATAAAAAATATCATGATATTAGCCCTTTGTTTGAAATCTCACCTTGACCTAATGGATTTCTTCTGTATTAAAAGGGATATGAATTTGAGTAAATTAGTGGACGAAGATGAACCGCTATTTCTGTCTTTAATTGAAGACATGTTCCCGGGAATTAAGTTATCGGTGTATTCATGGAAAGATTTGCAAAAGGCAATATCCAATCAAGTCGCAGAAATGGGTCTCGTGAACCACCCATCTTGGAATCTAAAAGTGATTCAGTTGTATGAAACGTCTCTAGTGCGGCATGGGCTGATGGTTTTAGGTATTTCAAAAGTTTCTATTCAAATATAACAGATATCGTTTATAACTACTAGCAGTTATTGTAGCCGAAATTATACTTTTTATACTTTATGTATCTAGATTGGATAAATCGTGAGTTAGTTTTGATAATTTCTGGTTGGTTCCTTTTATAGCGTCAGTCTTAAAGTTCACGGTCGACTTTCAGCTGCATAAAAGGTGCCGCCGGTATCGATCGCCCGCGGCATTCATTAAATTCAATTAAATACATATTTTTCAAATACAGCTAAGGAAGTAATCTAATTAACCCAAATTTAATTATTTAATTTTTTTTAATTATCGATTATTCAAAAATTCCATCACTTTGCCTTTATGTCATGGAGACTACTTATAAGTATATTTTTAAATAATGCTCCTTCTTTATTATGTACAGGTCCAACAGGGGCTGGTAAAACCAGAAACATGCACACTTTAATGAGGTCTATGACTGAAACTGGCCTCCCACACAAAGAAATGAGAATGAATCCAAAAGTAACTATTACTTTTCATTCTATAAAATATATTGCTGTTATCGTAGTTTCTACACTCATATGTAATAGTTGTACTGATGGTACCTGCCACATTAATAATTATAAATTAGCAATTGCACTATTTGTGTAGGAATGTTAACTCAGGGAGTCTACAGAAGAACTTTCTGTAATATTCAATGACAAAATCAAAACATACTTAAAATTGGACTCAATATTGTGAACTCTTTATTTGTTATTAATTTTTGCATATAGGCTACGAAATTACTGATGAATATAATAACACCCAACTCTTTATTTTGTTATAAAAAAAGAGTTACACATTTATTGTTGATGATTTATCAATAACTCTTTCAATCTACAGGCCATTACAGCTCCACAAATGTTCGGAAGACTAGACGTGGCTACAAATGACTGGACTGATGGCATTTTTTCCACGTTGTGGAGACGAACTTTAAAAATAAAAAAGACGGACTACGTTTGGTAGGCATCTATTTAGATTCTAATGCTCCAATTGTATCAGAAAATTTAGTATTACAAACTTAATTCGCGTAAAACGTCTTAACCAACTTCTTTCCTTTGACATATTTCACGTGAAATAATAATTTGCAAGCTTGCCTTTTCAAGGTCATTATCATCTTACTTTTACGACATATTATATGATATAGAAAAGAATAAATTTAATTAAATAAATACCACTACAGTCCAGTTTACTTTTGGGAATGACCAACTAGGTGGAAGCAGTATTATATATATGAAACACTTTGACATTTTTAATTAGCAGTTAATATCAATAATATATAAATATTAATGTGAAAATTTATTTTCAATTTCTTACCCACTATAAACGGGTTCGATTCCCGGCGAGGGTGTGACAACAGCAACAAGTTTTCCCTCATTAACCTGAGGAAGTTTATAGTGGGTAAGAAATTGAAAATGAATTTTCATATTAATATGGAAGCAATATTATTGATTACTATATTGTACAGACAGTGTAGCCTATTGTTCTCTATAATTAAAAATATTAATTCAACAGTTGGTTGAGATCATAATCAAACTTCCTCATCCATAATCACCATGACAATTTCCACTTTAGACATATTCTCTAAGTTATATATATTTGCTTATTCAGTATTGTTTCCATGATGTTTCTTTTAACAGGTATCTTCTAAAATTCTAATCTATTAACACTACCCTTTTGAACAGTTCCTTTCCACACATCTTCTCTGAAGAATTGATCTTTTAAAATGTTGAACATAATCTTCACTTTAGTATATTTTCTTTAATATTCGAATAATTGTCAATATAAAAGCCCAATATACTATATTTTTAAGATCTAGGTCCATATTTCACCTGAAATTCTAATTTCCTTTGTCATACATTGTCTTGATGATTATTAGGCTAGTCCTAGATGGTCCTGTCGACGCAGTTTGGATAGAAAATTTGAACTCTGTCTTGGATGACAATAAAACACTCACTCTCGCTAACGGTGACAGAATTGTCATGGCAGCAAATTCTAAATTAGTGTTTGAACCTGACAATGTAGATAATGCTAGTCCAGCGACTGTTTCTAGAATGGGTATGGTGTTTATGAGTGCTTCGGCGCTGCCGTGGAGACCTATATTGGAGGTATTTGAGACAGAAAAAACTTAATTCCGTTCATTTCAATCGCACTCCTTTTTTTCCGAAGGCTTGGCTCAAAACTCGCCCTCAAGAAGCAGACCATTTAAGAAACTTATTCAATAAGTGTTATGATGATATACTAAATTTTGTTTTGGTAAAATTAAAACCGAAAATGTTTTTGAGAGAGGCTTTGTACATTCGTCAAACATACGACATCCTTCAAGGACTTCTTATAGGAGACGAAGGTGACGAACCGAGTAAGAGCCATCTGTACCAAAATGAATCCTTGTAAAATAATGCCGCATTTATTTAAAAGGGACTTATTCCGATAGACACATCGAAAGGTTTTTCGTTTTCTCGGTAATGTGGTCTTTAGGGGCTGTTCTTGAACTAGACGACAGGGCTAAGTGGGAAGAATATGCTGTTAAGCTTCCAGGCCGTATAGACTGGCCCAAAATCAAGGAGGGAGAGTCAATTTTCGAATACTTCGTGGACGAAAACGGCAAATGGCTGCATTTGTCCGAACGAATAGAAGATTTCATATATCCTCCTGATGAAATCATTGAATACACAAGCATTTTGGTACCCAACGTAGATAATGTACGAACGGGATTTCTAATTCATACAGTTGCAAAACAAGGAAAGGCAGTGTTATTAATTGGTTAGCAATTTAAGTCATTATTCATTTCTTTTTTTGACGTGACAACGTCTTATAATACGATAGAGCCGGCTGCACGCACGAAAAAACATGACTCATGCGGCGTTACCTCGCTCTGAGNATTCTAATCTATTAACACTACCCTTTTGAACAGTTCCTTTCCACACATCTTCTCTGAAGAATTGATCTTTTAAAATGTTGAACATAATCTTCACTTTAGTATATTTTCTTTAATATTCGAATAATTGTCAATATAAAAGCCCAATATACTATATTTTTAAGATCTAGGTCCATATTTCACCTGAAATTCTAATTTCCTTTGTCATACATTGTCTTGATGATTATTAGGCTAGTCCTAGATGGTCCTGTCGACGCAGTTTGGATAGAAAATTTGAACTCTGTCTTGGATGACAATAAAACACTCACTCTCGCTAACGGTGACAGAATTGTCATGGCAGCAAATTCTAAATTAGTGTTTGAACCTGACAATGTAGATAATGCTAGTCCAGCGACTGTTTCTAGAATGGGTATGGTGTTTATGAGTGCTTCGGCGCTGCCGTGGAGACCTATATTGGAGGTATTTGAGACAGAAAAAACTTAATTCCGTTCATTTCAATCGCACTCCTTTTTTTCCGAAGGCTTGGCTCAAAACTCGCCCTCAAGAAGCAGACCATTTAAGAAACTTATTCAATAAGTGTTATGATGATATACTAAATTTTGTTTTGGTAAAATTAAAACCGAAAATGTTTTTGAGAGAGGCTTTGTACATTCGTCAAACATACGACATCCTTCAAGGACTTCTTATAGGAGACGAAGGTGACGAACCGAGTAAGAGCCATCTGTACCAAAATGAATCCTTGTAAAATAATGCCGCATTTATTTAAAAGGGACTTATTCCGATAGACACATCGAAAGGTTTTTCGTTTTCTCGGTAATGTGGTCTTTAGGGGCTGTTCTTGAACTAGACGACAGGGCTAAGTGGGAAGAATATGCTGTTAAGCTTCCAGGCCGTATAGACTGGCCCAAAATCAAGGAGGGAGAGTCAATTTTCGAATACTTCGTGGACGAAAATGGCAAATGGCTGCATTTGTCTGAAAGAATAGAAGATTTCATATATCCTCCTGATGAAATCATTGAATACACAAGCATTTTGGTACCCAACGTAGATAATGTACGAACGGGATTTCTAATTCATACAGTTGCAAAACAAGGAAAGGCAGTGCTATTAATTGGTTAGCAATTTATGTCATTATTCATTTCTTTTTTTTCTACTATCAACTGTTTTTCTTCAAAATTAACCAAGACTCATATTAGTAATGGACAAAAATTAAATGAATTTTCATAATACTACGGTAGTAACGTTTTTAAAAATTAGCAACATGGAACTTAGGATAGTCCGGCGCCTCCACCAAAAATGACACAGATAAATTATTTTGACTGTAATTCTTTTTATAAAATGATCTAAAGTATAAAATATTTATACGACGTTATAATTACAATCACGGCTCATAAAGTTTAGATGAGTTTTTATTATTTTTTTTAATTAAAGGTGAACCAGGAACTGCGAAAACTGTTATGATTAAAGGATACCTGAACTCATTTGATCCAGAATTTAAACTCAGTAAAAGTTTCAACATGTCATATGCTACAACTCCTAATATGGTGCAGGTTAGTAAGAAAAAGTCAAATTTAGATACAGAAAGTATCCAAAAAGAAAAAAAATGTTTTAAACTACTGTCACCTCTTGGTGAAACATTGTAAAATCCGCTTATAAACACTTGAAGCACTTTACAAAAGAAGATATTTTAAAAACCTTAGTTTTGGTTTATCTAAAACATTTTTAATTTGGCATAATACTAATTTTTATTATTTTACTTTAATGTAGAGAATAATTGAATCTTATGTTGACAAAAGAGTTGGCACAACGTATGGTCCTCCAGCAGGAAAAGTTTTGACGGTGTTTATTGATGATATCAACATGCCCGTTGTAAACGATTGGGGTGATCAAATTACAAACGAAATCGTTAGGCAACTGCAAGAAAATGGAGGTAAAAATTGTCATACCTTTTAAGAATAACAAAAAAGGAGAAATATTAAAGAAAAATATATTTACAATAAATTATATAATTTTAAAATTGATTCACCTCTTGATTGATGAAAATAATACCATTTCCTTTTTTATAAAACCAACACTTAAACATTGGGCAATAAAATGGAAGAGATATTGACAAAACAGTATTTCGTAAAAATAAATAAAAGTAATAAAATAATTCGAAGTGGTCTGTATTCTGTCGAAACTGCCAGACGCGGATCGCGATTTCGATCTTTTTGGATCTCATCAGCGCGTCGCAGGCAGCTTCGACAGAATACAGACCAACTTTTACCTGCTGCCTTAACAGCGCGTTTTAAAAAATACTACAAATGGCGCGGTAAACGCTATCTGTAGTACGATGCTACATTTTATACATATATCCATATATTTAATGGACCTTGTTGGAGCATGCGTAAAATTAAAATGTAGCATCGTACTACAGATGGCGTTTACCGAGCCATTTGTAGTATTTTCTAAATAAAAGTAAGACAAAAATAGTGGTATGCTAGAAAAAAAAAGAGTAGGGAAAGATTGAATTGAAAGATAAGAGACCAAAAATTAGAAGAAGTAGCTGATTTTAGGTATCTAGGAAGTCAGATAACCCAGTATGGAAGGAGTAGTAGAAATAAAGTTAGAAATGGGGAGATATTAGAAAGAGTAGGAGAACAGAGGGCGCTGTAAACTCATTACAAAGTAAGCGAGGTAGGTTTGTACACCTTCTCATACATGACGGGCTAATTAGAGACATATTGGAAGCAGAAACAGGAGATTAGATTAGATTAGTTTTCACAAATAGTTAACGATATGGGATGTTCTAGTTTTAGGGAAATGCGAAGATTAGCTCAGGATAGGAATGAGTGGAGGTGTGAATCCAATCAATCTTAGAACCATAAAACCATATAACGATGATGATGACTAAATTTTATTCATTTTAATTCCTACAATTAAAAATTACACAAAACTTTTATCCAAATCTCATAATATTTAAACCGATTGGTGGCGTCTTTCTAGGTTTCTATAGCTTGGATAAACCTGGAGACTTCTCCGCCATAGTTGATGTCTTGTTCTTGGCAGCTATGATTCACCCAGGTGGTGGAAGAAACGACATTCCCCATAGGCTCAAAAGGCAGTACTGCGTTTTCAATTGCACTCTGCCTAGCATCAATTCCATGGACGTGATCTTCAGTAATCTTTTCAAAATTCACGCCCAATTACTTAGATAATTCATCTATTATACTCTTAGGTCGCATTGGCGTGGGATATTTTTGTATTGAAAGATTTAACGAAACCATAGTGGATTTTGTAGCTAATCTAATCCCTTTAACCCGACAAGTATGGCAACAGACGAAAAACAAAATGCTCCCTACGCCTGCCAAGTTTCATTACGTCTTTAATTTGAGAGATCTGTCCAGAATATGGCAAGGAATTTTGACAATTCATGGCGAAGAATGTTCAACGATTAAAACTCTTCTGAAATTGTGGCAACATGAATGTATGAGGGTCATTTCTGATAGGTAAGGTGTCAATTCTTAATTCCGGTTGTTCTAAAATCTTAAAATCTGGCACCAAAAGGGAATTGCTATTGGTTTCTAATTCTTTGTGGAAAACTTATTTTCACTAACATTGAGGTGAGATTATACCATAACCCCTTGTCCTGACTCCGATTAATTCTAAAGACCATGTTCGCATCCCAAACCCCAAATGGGGTAAGAGTATTTTCACTGACATTGAGGTGAGATTTCACCACAACCCCTTGTCATGACTCCGATTAATTCTAAAGACCATGTTCGCATCCCAAACCCCAAATGGGGTAAGAGTATTTTCACTGACATGGAGGTGAGATTTCACCACAACCCCTCGTCCTGATTCCGATTAATTCTAAAGACCATGTTCGCATCCCAAGCCCCAAATGGGGTGAGGGAAAAATATAAGTTAGTTACAACAGTATAGAAGCTACAGGACGCGAACCTGATCGGACTTGTTAGTAACATTATTAAATCATCTAATATAATCACAAAAATAGATTTACATCGTATGAAGACCGGGACTGGTTTACGAAGAATTTAAGACGTGAGGCAAGAGACTTTTTAGGTGCAGACGTGTATAATCAGCACTTTTCTGAAGATGAGACATACTTTGTTGACTTCTTACGAGAAGCTCCCGAAGCAACAGGAGACGAGCCAGAAGATTTCGACTTCTCTCCTCCTAAAGTATACGAAGAAATGCCTAGTTGGGAATTTGTGATTGAAAAGTTAAACTGTAAGACCGAATAATATCATCGTTTAATGCTTTACAATTTGCACTTGGCTACAATTGTATTTGGGTCAATTCAGAAAGGCGAAGTGGATATTATTACATATTGAGCTGTTTTACTACACCGTATATTACTTACTATCATTTTCTTCAATAATACCATGATCGAATGCCGCAAGCAGCGGTTGATACCACTGGCACCTGCTTGATGATAAATCATATGCGAACATGTCACGTACGGTCGTCCGACAAATGGAACGTACGGGAAGTTTCCGAAAATATTCAGCAGTTATAAATAGTTCGCGAACGAAGAATTTAAATTTACATGCATCGAAACGCGTTTAAATAAATAGAATTACTAAAAAATTTGTTACAATTAAACTGGATAGAAAGAAGTACTTTAATAATAATTTATTGTTTACTTCGCCTTCTTAAATTGGCCCGATATAATTTTAGAAGGACATATTACCTCCTAATTTTGTAATGATCGAAAAATTTCTAAGGATATAAATGTCTATTGTTTCTGATTACAGTATTTATGGAAGGTTACAATGAGTATGTAAGAGGAAGCCCATTGGACATGGTGTTCTTCCACGACTGTATAGTCCATTTGATTATAGTGTCTAGGATAGTAAGAACTCCTAGAGGCAGCGCATTACTAGTTGGAGTAGGAGGTTCCGGAAAGCAGAGTTTAACAAAACTTGCTTCCTTTATAGCCAATTACCGCATTTACCAAATATTATTGACAAGGTACTTAATCTGGATGCTTTAAAATTATTGTAAAAAAAACAAAAGATATACAATGTCCTTTTCTATGTTTAGGTCTTATAATATTAACAATTTCATGGATGACATGAAGGTTTTGTATCGAACTGCTGGTCAGCAAGGTCAAGGGGTGTCATTCATATTCACCGATAACGATATTAAAGATGAAAACTTTCTGGAATTGCTAAATAATGTTCTCAGTTCAGGAGAAATAGCAAACCTGTTTGCTAAAGACGAATTAGATGAAATTCAAAATGAATTGATATCTGTCATGAAAAAGGAATACCCAAAACGACCACCAACAAATGACAATTTGTATGATTATTTTATCACCAGATCTAGATCCAATCTGCATTGTGTATTGTGTTTTTCACCGGTAAGAACGTTTTCTTTCTCATTTAACTAAGAAGTTACGCGAAAGAACTCAAACGAACAGGTCTTGACATTCTCCAGTCATTTCTGTCTTGGACTCATTTTAATGTTATTATACACATTGGCCTGTAGGTGGGTGAGAAGTTTAGAAACAGAGCAATGAAATTCCCTGGTCTTATTTCTGGAACAACAATGGATTGGTTCTTTAGATGGCCAAAAGATGCACTTGTGGCTGTGTCAAATCATTATTTCAGGGAATATGAGATGGAATGTACCCCAGACGTTAAAAGGTCACTAATATACATTGTTGGGGAAATACAGGACAGTGTAGCAGACTTATGCTCAAATTATTATGACAGGTAATCAAAAAAAAATGATAAAAGTGCAAGTAAAATAAAACTGGTCTAACTCGTCAATAAACCGTTTGGACCTTCAGACTAGCATTTTCCTTAACTTTTTGAGAAAGAATTGCTTTAATATTTATTTTCATTTTGTGTCAAAAAAATATGATTTCTTTTGTTTAAACTAAAGATTCCGAAGACAGACGTATGTGACTCCGAAAACTTTCCTATCTTTCCTGGAAAGTTACAAAGACCTTTACAAAGCGAAACGGGAAGAAATTCAGATAATGGCAAACCGGATGAAGACCGGATTATCAAAACTAGTAGAAGCCGCTGCGAGCGTCGATATATTGAAACAGGAATTGGTGGTTAAGAACAAAGAAGTGGCTGCAGCTGCGGAACAGGCTGAAAAGGTTCGAAATTTTTGCAATCGGTTTATTGCGTTCAAAATGAAAATCAGAACTATGCAGTAATATTGTTCGTACCTACCGAATTCGCCTACTTCTATTTGTAATAACCGTAAGTTCATTTCAATATTGAAAAGTCCCGGAGGATTATAAGAGGAATGTGGTAGTAACTCTACCTAAAAGGAGAAGCGCGGATAGGTGCGAAACATTTACCTTAACTTCCCATACGTCAAAAATCTTAACTAGAATTGTACAGAGGAGGATGGAAAAAAGAGCCGAAGAAATATTAGGGGAATATCAATTTGGGTTAAGAAAAAATAGAGGAACGTAGGGGGCCATTCTGGCTTTACGGGTAACAATAGAGAAAGGAAAGAGCGCGTACATGGAATTTGTAGGTTTAGAAAAAGCTTTTGACAATGTTAAATGGGTCAAGATGTTAAAATACTTAAAAATGTAGAGATGAGTTATAGATATAGATGAGTGATACTTAGTTTGTATAAAGAGCAACAGGCAGTTATTGAGCTGGTACAGCAACGTAGAGAAGTAAATATTTGGTAGGGAGTCAGGTAGGGATGCACACTGTCATAGCTACTTTTTAATCTATACATCGAAGACGCGATCAACATCATTAAAGACGTTACAACTGTACGGATAGATATAGAGGGGCAAAAGATTAGTATGCTTAGATTTGCAGATGATATAGCAATATTAGCATCTAGCAAGCAGGAGTTAGAGATAGCTTTAAATAAAATGGAAGCGGTGTTGACAAAATAGTATTGTATAAAAGTAAATAAAAATATAAAAAAAATGCTGGCATGCAAGGGAAGAGAATGTAAAGATAGGAGACGAAAAATTAGAAGAGGCCGAATTTAGATATCTTTCAGATAAGTCAGGACGGAATGAGTAGTAAAGATATATAAAGCAGAGGATAGCGCAGGGTCGAGTCGCCTTCAATAAAAAGAAGTCTCTTTTATGCTCACGAACGGTGAGGATACCGTGGATAGAGAAGGTTAGAAATGAAAAGGTATTAGAAAGAATAAGAGAACAAAGGACAACAAAAAATAGGCGAGATTGGTTGGTAGGACACCTTGTCAGGCATGAAGGTCTAGTCAGAGACATATCAGAGGCAGAAACAAGAGTTAAGAGGAATAGAGGTGGACCTAGATTAGACTACTGTTCGCAAAAGGATATGGGAAGTTTTAGTTTTAGGAAAATGCGAAGATTAGCTCAACATAAGAAAGAGTGGAGGACTGAACTCTGACCTTATAATGATGATGAATTGCTTATGTCTTAATGAATACTCTTAGAATTTTAGACACTCAAGGAAAATACTTATTCCTGTTGCAAATTATCTCAGCTACAAATTTTACTAATGTTTTTAGAAAAATTCCCTGTTTTAGAGGTAGTATTTATATAATACTATTTTCGTGACCCTTGACCCTTCAAAACCTACCTAGTCACATTCATATCGATAAATAACTCTCACAACTTATTTAGAAACCCAGTACCTAGTAACATGTACGCAAAAATTTAACCCATTGCAAATTCTTCCCCTGTTTGATACGTATTTTTGGACATTAATCATGATAGCATGAAATCATTCAATCTAGTGACTGAAGCAGCAGGCATAAGTACATTACAATAATAAAATTTTAAGAACAAAATATATTTTTGTTCGACTATTTACTGACTTTCTAAATTATGTGCAAATCAAAGAAAATTATTGTTTTGAATTTTTTGCTTTTCACTAGAGAGCAATATTTTTATACAAATAAAACTGAATTTTTGACAATGTACCTATAGGTACTGGTTTCTGTAATGGAAGCTTCAACTATAGCAAACAAAATTAAAGAAGAGGCAACCATAGTCAAAGACAAGGCCGAGGTTCTTGTCGCAATTATTAGTGTGGATCAAAAAGTTGCTGAAGAAAAGCTACTAGCTGCCAAACCTGCTCTTGATGCAGCAGAAGCAGCCCTACAGGTAAGCGAATTTCTAAGGACAAATATTTTTTCTTCTAATTCCTTAGAATATTTATTATTTAACTTTCTTTTCGATAAATTTCTAAATTTATCTTTAAATACAAATGTCCCTGGATCAAAACCAGAATCTAAATCTTAGCAATCACCTCTGTAGGGAAGTTTTATCTCCAATTGTTTCTTCGTCACGCTCTTCCAACTCATTTCTCATGTGAGGCACTTTCAAAGCTGTTAATTTTCTTGCCTTTTTTATCAGAAAATCCTGTTCTTTTAGGTAATTTTCTACCTCACACCTGAATGAATTGTCTGTTTGTTTATTAAAACCTATACCTACAATATGCAATTTATATAACACAGAAACACGATGTTCATGTTAAAATCAATATTGAGACTTCTTCGCGTACTATTTATAGCAACCGCTTTGTATCGACTGTATCCCGTCGGATGCTGCTCGTTTATTCCTACGGTCATGGAACATTTCTATTTATTTACCGAAGCTTCCCGTAAGTTCCATTTTTCAGGTACGTCAAACGCAACGCCGGTATCGATGGCCCGTGGCATTCGCTCGAAACAACATTCAGTGCTGACTTGTATATCATATCGTTTGACAAAGACTTACAAAGATATTTGCTTGCTAAGTTAAATCTACGACATAATATACACACGTTATAGAGACGGAAAGTAATTAAATAAAGAGCATTGACTTAATGTTTATACGTATCATAATATATGTATTTGTTTGAAAGGTTATCTTTATTTTAATGAAGACTGCACCCTGTTTTTATACCCAATTACCTTACATCACTTTCTCCTACACTTTTTTTTATTTCATAAATAGAAAAGTACCCGTATGCTATATATTTACATGATTGTATTACTTTAGACTATTAAAGCATCCGATATAGCTACGGTGAGAAAATTGGGAAAGCCACCGTACCTAATCATGTTAATTATGGATGCTGTCATCATTTATTTTAAAAAGCACATAGAGCCTACCGTTCCCGATCCAGAAAAGAAATTTTTAATGCCGTCCTGGAGTGAATCCTTAAAGGTAATAGATATAATTTTCCATAATTTCCAACCCAACAGAAAAAGATTCGGTGTCATTTATTGAGAGGATTGACCGTAATAGACCGCTCGTACCTAGTGTAAATTTTTCGGAAAACGTGGGTTTCTATTCTAAACACTGATTTAACGCTGCGAGAAAAATATATGATTTTTTGTATGGTAACAGACAAAGGTTCACACTAACTCAGTACATTTTTGGTTATTCAATCATATGGTCATTAAAACCTTTTACAAATGCTTAAAGTTGATGTTTCTTGTAGGATACGTATTTTCAAAAGAAATTAAATAATTAAAAAATGGCCTTCGACAGGCTTTAAAACAAAGCTTCATCTATCTCAGAGCCGGGCAAACTTTAACTTCGCAGGAGCCGCTACATGAGGTTAGTTTGAGTCACTCCATACCCTTCAATGAGTACGAGAGAGTAAGCGGTAAAGAATAATTTTGTTTTGTCTTTTTCTTCTCCCTTCCACTCCCTTATCAAGCCCCTTCATGCCGTAGACGAGCGAAGCCACTCTCGTAACTTAAATAATACCTACGAAAATTTTCATTACTACGTTCGCAAAACTATTGGGTTTGGCTATGGAAGAGGGGACTCATCTACGAAATGGAAGGGATAAGAAAAGGAAACAATCATCTCACTCGCACTCGCAGGATCAATGAGGAGCTATTTGGTTAACCTTGAGGACCGAGCGGCATGGCCTAGAGGTCTAGACCATTGCTTAGCATTCGGGAGGACGCCGGTTCGATTCCGGGTCCGTCTGCCTTGGTCCAAGTTTTTCTGTGGTTTCCTTGGATCACTTAGGCAAATGCTGAGGCAGTAATATTCCACAGATAATCTTTCACTCTCTTCTGTCTTCATTTCGTCCGTCTCATCTTTCTCACCCGAACCACCACCCACCCATTCCCACGATTCCTGAAAGCAGGCTGAAGAGGGCCTTCCGCCCTACCTTCCGGCATAGTCCGGAGGGACTGCCCGTCCACCAGCATTACTGGCTGGTGGGAATGAAACACCCAAAAGTTTTTTTTTTTTTTAACCTTGAGGATCACTCGGGATGCAAAAGATCCGAGTTTGCCCGGCTCTGATCTATCTTACTAAAAAATTTAAAACCTCTGTTACAAACATTAAACTCATGATATCTAGAACCGATAGGCATGTTCTTACTTTACGGCGCGTGTACTAATGAATCCCCTTGATGTATCGGCATCTTTTGAGTATGTACTGTTAGTACGTTCCCAGGCAGCTTTTATAAAAGATGTAACCGAGTAAACAGAAAAGGATTCGGTGTTATTTTTCAACGTATCGGAATCTTACAAGTACTGTTGACTCGTGTCGAGGCGACTTTTATAAAAGATATAACCTAATGGACTAATTTCAAAATTCAAAGCAAGAAGAAATCACTAAATTTTTTAAACGTTTATCTAAAGCTGATTATAATGATTAATATTAATTTAAATTTATCAATACATTGATTTTATTTTGATACATATTGGCTTTATTTTGGAACCCTAGGACCTATCCCCCATGATTCCATAATAATTACCATTCCATATCCACGGTTTCTGTATTCGCGACATATTTATGAAACGTATACCCCGCGAATAAAGAGCTTTTACTGTATTCGATCCATATGCAAACATTTATCATTTAAGGTAATGGCAGATACCAGATTCTTAGCAAAACTTCAAGAGTATCCAAAAGACACTATAAATGCAGAAATGATTGACCTTCTTACCCCATATTTCTCGAATCCATTGTACACCTACGAGGCTGCGAAAACCGCTTGTGGTAACGTAGCAGGATTAATATCATGGACTATTGCGATGGCTTCATTTTATGATGTCAACAGAGAAGTATTGCCACTGAAGGTAAACCACATTCGGAATATAAAAAGAATACATCATTACGAAACGCATTTTTTTACTTGATAGGCAAACTTAGCTATCCAGCAAGCGAAGCTGGAAAGAGCTCAGACTGAATTGCATGATGCCATGGAAATGTTGGAAAAGAAAGAAGAAGAAGTGAGACAGTGTCAAATAGAATATGACACAGCCATGGCATTCAAACAGGTACACATTAATAAAAGGTGTTTCTAAAGGGGAGGAGACCAAAAGCCATTGGACCTTCTTAAATTCTTGGAACACAATGGTCTTACTTTTGAATTAGTCTTAAGTTTTATAATCTCATTTCTTTTTATTTTTTCTTTAAACTTTTCGAAGACGCGATCAACATTAAAGACAGTACAACCGTAGCGATAGATATACAGGGGAAAAAGATTAGTATGCTTAGATTTGCAGATGATATAGCAGTATTAGCATCTAGCAAGGAGGACCTAGAGATAGCTTTAAATAAAATGGAAGCGGTACTGACAGATCAGTACTGTATGAAAATAAATAAAAGTAAAACTAAAATACTGGTAAGCAAGGGAAGAAAAAGTAGGGAAAGAGCGAATATAAAGATAGGCGACGAAAAATTAGAAGAAGTGGCTGATTTTAGATATCTAGGAAGTCAGATAAGTCAGGACGGAAGGAGTAGTAGGGATATAAAGCAGAGGATAGCGCAGGGTCGTGTCGCCTTTAATAAGAAGAATAAAACGGTTAATTTAGAAATTCGAAAAAGGTTGTTAAAGGTGTATGTTTGGAGCACGGCGTTGTACGGGTGCGAAACGTGGACAGTGAGTGCGGCGGAGAAGAAAAGGTTAGAAGCTTTCGAAATGTGGTGTTATAGGCGGATGATGAGGATAACGTGGGTAGAAAAGGTTAGAAATGAAGAGGTATTAGAAAGAATAGGAGAGCAGAGGACTGTGGAAGTTAATAAAAAATAGGCGACATGGGTTAGTAGGACACCTTCTCAGGCATGAAGGTCTAGTCAGAGACATATTAGAGGCAGAAACAGGAGTTAGGAGGGGTAGAGGTAGACCTAGATTAGATTACCCTTCGCAAATAGTTAAGGATGTGGGCTGTTCTAGTTTTAGGGAAATGCGAAGTTTAGGAAAGAGTGGAGGTACGTGTCCAACCAGTCTTAGGACTGACGACCCTATGATGATGATGTCAAAATAAATTATAAGGACCTAAATGAGCTTAACTAATTAATTTAAAAAAAATACAGTATAGTGAAAGCACGTAGTTGTGGAGTAAAAGAGATTAACAGAGAGTAGCAATTTTTCAAAAATTTAAAAAATTCAAAATATCCGAAAGCTGTCGAACTTATAACCAACAGAATTTAAATTAAATATTCTTGGTATGGTATCCCCCATACTCATTCAGTTAAAAATGTTATCCACTACTTTTTGGGCACCCTGTATGATTATAAAATAATAACAATGTAATATTATCTTTCGACAACCTTTTTAAAAACGTTCTTGATATAAAGTTGTATTACATTAATGTTCTTAATTTATTCAGCAAGTATTCGACGAGGCAATGAAAGTACAAAATAAAATGGACCAAGCAACTGGTTTGATAAACGGTCTGAGTGGTGAAAGGATTCGATGGACTGATCAGTGTGCACAGTTCAAGGCCGAAACGGAAAGACTGGTGGGCGATATATTAATTTTGACGGGATTTTTGGGATATTCCGGGCCGTTCAATCAAGAATTCCGAACTATTCAGCTAAAAACGTGGATGGGCGACATCACCAAGAGAAAGATTCCAGTATCCGCAACTGTTAACATTATTGATAGCTTGATTGATACAGCAACGGTACATTTTATTGATTCTATACTAAGAACAGTCTTTGGACTATCAGACAGTAACGATTTCGATCTTATTCGATATTATCAGCACGCCATATATAATCTCGATAAATTTCCGACAAATCAAAAATTAAAATCACTCTGCAGCTTTTCTATTTCTTCCAATTCCGTGTCTTTAAATGACAAATGTTTAAATTTTTTATCTTTTTAAACCCTTAGATTCAGTTTAGACTCATTTCCCTCATTTCTCATTTTTCAATATTAAATAAACCTTTTAGATACGTTCTACTATAATTTTGTTGTAACGTTTACCGAATAAATAATATCTACTTAATCCAATGATTACGTACAAATTAATAAAATAATGATAAACTATAGATAGGTGAGTGGAATTTACAAGGTTTACCTTCGGACGACTTGTCCATACAAAACGGTATCATCGCCACCAAAGCTTCAAGGTATCCACTGCTTATAGATCCCCAGAATCAAGGAAAAGCGTGGATTAAGAAAAAAGAACAGGAGAATGGTCTCGTTGTTACCACATTAACTCATAAGTATTTCAGGTAAATAACAAAATTGTACTGCAGTCTCCCATTTATTTTATAATGAACCAAAGAACTGAAAGATAGTAGTTGTAAGAGACTTCCACAAATAGGAAAAAAACTTCACAAAACTTCTCTTCTCTTTCAAGGAATCATATTGAAGATTCAGTCTCCTTTGGAATGCCAGTATTAATTGAAGATGTGTTGGAAGAATTAGATCCCATGCTAGACAACGTACTGGAGAAAAATCTTATAAGGGTTGGTACCACATACAAGGTTAAAGTAGGCGACAAAGAAGTGGACTTCCACAAGGACTTTCGAATTTACATTACGACCAAACTGGCAAATCCATCGTATACGCCAGAAATTTTCGCCAGAACATCTGTCGTTGATTTCACAGTTACAATGAGAGGTACTTGGGTAAGGCCCTCTATCTAAAATTAGCTTCTCAAAAGTATAATTTAAAACAGGTCTCGAAGATCAACTGCTCGGTAGAGTCATTGTAACGGAGAAGAAAGAACTTGAAATCGAACGTACGAATTTGATAAAGGATGTGACAGCTAATAAGAGAAAAATGATTGAGTTGGAGGCAAATTTGCTTTATAAATTGACAACCACTCAAGGATCTCTTGTTGATGATGAAACCGTTTTAGAAGTCTTGAATACCACAAGAAGCACCGCACAAGATGTTAAAGAGAAACTGGCGATTGCAAGAGATACAGAAATTAAAATTAACGCGGCTAGAGAAGAATTCAGGTTAATAATAATAATAATCATCATCATCACTCTTTCCTATCCTGAGCTAATCTTCGTATTTCCCTAAAACTAGAACATCCTACATCCTTCAAATATCTGCGAACAGTAGTCTAATCTAGGTATATCTCTACTCCTCTTAACTCTTGTTTCTGCCTCTAATATGTCTCCTACTAGACCTTCAAGGCTGAGAAGGTGTCTTACCAGCCTATCTCGCCTATTTTTTATTAACTTCCATAGAGTCCTCCGTTCTTTTATTCTTTCTAATACCTCTTCATTTCTAACCTTCTCTATCCACGGTATTCTCATCGTTCGCGAGAATAGAAGTGACTTCTTTTTATTGAAGACGACTTGACCCTGCGCTATCCTCTGCTTTATATCCCTGCTATTCCTTCCGTCCTGACTTCTCTGACTTCCTAGATGCCTAAAGTCAGCCACTTTTTCTAATCTTTCGCCTTTAAATGTTGTATCCCATTTACACCTGGCGCCTTATTATTCTTTAAGTTTTTTAACGCTACATCGAACTCTTCATTATGGGATAACCTAGTTCATCTATCTCCACACTAGCTTCCTTTTCTAATATCTCCTAACTCATGACCTACGTATAGGTTCTCTAAGTATTCTTTCCACTTGTCTGCCTTTTCCTCATTTTCTACCAAAGTGACCCCTGCCTCGTTTCTTATATTATTACTACTGTACCCTACTCCTCTACAATTTATTTTATTTATATTATAAGCCTCATCCGTTTTACCTACTTTAATCTTTTCTTCTTTACACCTCAGGGTAATAATATAATTGAAAATTTATTACTTTCAAAAGGTAATTAATTCTCCAGTCATCTATAAAGCGCTGATTACTTTTGCAGATCGATAGCAACTAGAGGAAGTGTTCTATACTTTTTAGTTGTCAGTATGTCGATGGTAAATTGCATGTACCAGACATCTTTGGTACAATTTTTAGAAAGATTCGATATATCTCTAATCAATTCAGAAAAGTCGCCCATCACTTCAAGGTAAAAATTATCAAAAAAAGGATAATAAAGAGTACAACTAATAACGAATTCAAAATTAACTAGCAGCCCATCCTCTCAAGGATTTGAACAATTCTAAACCTTCGTTTTTATTAAAGGCGCTTGGTAAACGTTTGTGACTACCTGACATACGAAATATTCAAATATAAATGTCGAGGGCTCTACGAAGTACACAAATACATGTTTGTCTTACTTTTGGTACTAAGGGTGGACCTCCAAAGAGGATACATAACGTATGACGAATTTCAGTACTTCATAAAAGGAGGAGCTGCTCTGGATTTAAACGCGTGTCCACCAAAACCAAGCAAATGGATAACGGACATGGTATGGCTAAACCTGGTAGAGTTATCAAAACTGAGACACTACCAATATATTCTGACACAGGTATATTTTAGTGATAACTGCAAACAAGTGTTAATAGAAGAGAATTTTTTGCATTTTCAGATAGAAAACAACGAACGCGCTTGGAAAGTTTGGTTTGATAAAGAGGCTCCCGAGGAAGCCGTTATTCCCGACGGATACTCAAATTTGGACGCGTTTAGAAAACTATTATTGATCAGGCAAGTAAACAAAATCTACATTTATGCACCATCATCGTTGTATAATTTCTTCCTGCTATAGAGCTTGGTGTCCCGACCGATCTATAACACAAAGCAGAAAATACATAGCCCAGTCAATGGGTCAAAAGTTCGCAGATCCAGTAATTCTCAATATGGAAACAATGTTGTTTGAGAGTAGACCATTGACTCCTATAATCTGCTTCCTGAGCATTGGGTCTGATCCCACGCCATTTATTGAACAGTTAGCGAAAAAAATGGAAAACAAGAGTAAAAGTATTTCCATGGGCCAAGGCCAGGAAGTACACGCGAGAAAGTTGATGGCGTCCGCGATGGCTGAGGTAATATTATTTTTATTATTGATTATATAAACAACAAATTAATAAATTTAGGGATATTGGTCATTACTCCAAAACTGCCATTTGAGTTTGGATTACATGAACGAAGTGATGGTAATGTTCATGGAATTGGAAAAGGGCGTCGGGGCTGTTCATCCTGACTTTAGATTTTGGATAACAACCGAAGTTCACCCTAAATTTCCCATAGGACTTTTGCAGATATGCATCAAATTTACTGTGGAGCCCCCTGCAGGTATGCCATAAGTAAATTATCTAGGTGGATATCTTTTAATTTTTATCATTAAACAGGTATTAGAGCAGGATTAATGAGAACCTACACATCCATGAGTCAAGATATGCTGGATTACACTGATGCTTGGCAGTACCTTCCCCTTATCTATGCTATTTCATTTATGCATACGGTAGTACAAGAGAGACGAAAATTTGGACCGTTAGGTTGGAATATACCCTATGAATTCAACTCAGCCGATTGGCTCGCCAGTTGTATGTTTGTACAAAACCATTTAGAAGATATAGATCCCAAGAAAGGAGTTAGCTGGGTCACATTAAGGTAAAAGAATTATCAATTCCTTCTCTAAAGTTAGAAATGCCGGATGCTTGATATCTAAATTAATCCAATGCTCACTTTCGTTCCTTTTGGAATTGGTATTTAATTTGTTTGATGACAACGCAAACTATTGAGCAAAAGACTGGTGGTATTTCATCACATTTAAACTTTGTGCAAGGATTGGTTGTCAAACATAAGGATAATGGGGATTCGGAAGTTGAGAAGTATCAGAATTTTGCTCGTTGTGTTTTTCTTGGCGATTAATTTTCTAACATAATCAAGCCCCTCTTTTTCACTGGGCAAGTGCCCATAGCCCAGCAAAATAGTCCTCTGTCAAATCCTCAAAAGTCCCGTTATATCCTTATGTATCCAGGGATGTTTGGGGTCATACTATTATGGCTTAAACGAAGACTTTCATTCTCAACTATTGAGTGAAACATGAAAAAAAATTCCTACTAGATATAACTTTGTAAACGGATGAAACATACCCTATTTTTGTTTTATTTCCAGATACATGCTTGGCGAGGTCCAATATGGTGGTCGTGTCACTGACGACTTTGATAAACGTTTGCTGAACACCTTTACAAAAGTCTGGTTCCACGATAATATGTTTCTGGATGAGTTTAACTTCTATAAAGGATACAAAATTCTAAAGTTTAAAAATATCTCGGAATATTTGGCAGCTTTTGAAATCATGAGCGCCACCGATCCTCCACAAGCATACGGATTGCATCCCAATGCTGATATATCGTAAATACAATTTTGTTCCATTTGTATTTGTTCCAATTTTCCGTTAAAAAACTCATCTACGTGGTGTTCCAAAAAATTGCTACCATTTTTAGGTACATGACCACAACTGCCAATACCATGTTTTCAACCATGTTGTCCATACAGCCGAAGGAGTCTTCAGGTGGTGGTGGAGAGACGCGCGAAGGTTTAGTTGTCAGATTAACCAAAGATATGTTAAGTAAATTACCACCAAATTACGATATGTATGAAGTTAAAGATCGGTAATTGAATTATTCACCAGTTTGTCTTTTTTGAAAATGTTAAACTAAAAATTTTTGTTTAGATTGAGGGCGATGGGAATACTAAATCCTCTAAATATTTTCCTGAAACAGGAGATTGATCGGATGCAAAAAGTGATTGGTCTTGTGAGAGCCACTCTACGAGATCTTTTGCTTGCCATTGAAGGAACAATAATAATGAGCGAGGTACAACAACTCCTAATTATTTTTTGAAAACATTTCGAACCAATTTAAGTAATAAATAATAAAAATGTCAGACTTCGTTTTACACTTTCTACATTTCTGTTACTTTTACACAGCGAAAACAGTACAAATTCGTCAATATTTTCAAATTATTCTTTAAATAGGGATTAAGAGATGCCCTGGATAATATATACGACGCTCAGATACCCGCTGTCTGGAGAAGGGACTCGTGGGTATCAAGTACGTTAGGGTTTTGGTATACGGAACTATTGGAGAGAAACATTCAATTCAGAACATGGTGTTTTGGAGGAAGGCCCAATAGTTTTTGGATGACAGGATTTTTCAACCCTCAAGGTGCCAACAACATTATAAATTACACACTTAGAATGCATGACATTGTACCATAACCAGTTGAAACCATCCAAATTTAGTAGGATGTACTTAAGTAGTACCTACGTCAAGTTTTATGGTTGGAATGTAAATATTTTTCACCTCGAATACGTTAAAATTAGCAAATTTTAATTAAATATTCCAATTAAACAGTGACATCCTGGATATCGAAAGTTCCATATTTTAATTTAAGGTTTTAAGAGTCAGCTAATTCCAGAATCTCGTATCATCAGCTATCCCAGTTGCACCAATTTCAGTTAGAAAACAAGGACACATTTTTCATCTTCATTCGCATATATCTAAAGTCGAATAAAATTTTACAAAACTTCAGTCTTTTAAACGTTAAATTGATAGCCTTTCTCATCTCATCCATCTTCTGCAGTTTTTCCATAATCTAACCGAAAAGTGCGTTTGTCGACTTTATTTTCACGGCTGAGGGATAAGCAAGCAGGCAACCAAACATTTCTATAACACTACTGTATAGATATTTAGTGATATCATTATCTAAAAGTTGAAGACGGATCTAAATCCGAACTTGAGGACCGTTCTCCAGGATTGTCTTTCCTTCTATTAGTTCGTGGATGAAGCCGAAAAATTCTATGCCCTCACCAAATTCTCTGAGGAAGCCAACAACAAAAGCTGATGGAACGTCAAATAAAAAACTCCATCCACGAACTCACCAAACGTTAAGAACTTAACCTAAACCTTGACCATCAAGCCCCCATATGGAACCCTCCTTAAATAACGCTAACCTCATCAATAGAAATTGACTCTTTAAAAACCACCCCTTTTATTGTTGTTTAAATAATGGTAATAAATACTAATATAAACATTTATCAAAATCGTCGAGTGTTTTACAGGTTTTCTGACGGCTATGAGACAAGAAGTGGCCAGGGCTCACAAGGGGTGGGCTTTGGATCAAGTGACCCTACACGACGATGTATTAAAACAGTTTAGGGAAGAAATTAAAGTTCCACCAGTGGTACGCACATATTTTTACTGTAATAACACCGCGAATCAGATTAGTGAAAGTTGCTTAATTTAAAAGAAACGATAAATATTTTTATTTTTAGGAAGGCGTATACGTTTATGGGTTATTTTTGGATGGTGCAGGATGGGATAAGAAAAACATTCGCCTAACAGAGTCGCCATTGAAAGTTTTATTCACCATGATACCTGTGATACACATCTATGCCATTTATTCAACCGATCCTAAAGATCCCAAGCTTTATGCGGTAATTACAATTTCAAATTAAAGAAATTATTTTCGAAAATTTTACATTCTCCTCAAACAAAATTTTCTCCAATCTTCTAAACGTAACCCAACCTAAAATGTTACTGTCTTTAAAGTTGATTTTCGTTTATTTTGTGAACCTAACCTATCCTAATTAATTTTATTGCTATAACCTAACCTAACCTAATTAATTTTAATGCTTCATTTTTTCTCTATAAACGAAATTTGACCAAACCTTAGTCAACCCAGACAGACAAAACTTAACAGTTTTAACTATTCATTATACATTTAGTTATCCAAAACCCCTGTTCCCGTTTTTTCAGAGTCCTGTTTACAAGAAACCAAGGAGAACGGGTTTAAATTATATTACAACTTTATGGCTTCAAACAATAAAACCACCGGAACATTGGATTTTAAGGGGCGTAGCACTGTTGTGTGACACCAAATAATTTTAGCTTGTACATGTATACATTTTTATAAAAAATTAAAAAACAATCAATTGCCTTTTATTTCTACATCTATAAGACTAACTAAAACTAATTGAAACTGAATCTAAAATCCATTACTACCCAAAAAGACACTTTTTTATCTGAACCTTTAAGATTCCTAATGATTCATGTGGCCCCGCAAGTGGCCCCGAATTCCATCATCTTCATCAGGTCGTCAGTTCTAAGACAGGTTGGACACGTACCTCCACTCTTCCCTATCCTGAGCTAATCTTCGCATTTCCCTAAAACTAGAACAGCCCACATCCTTAACTATTTGCGAACAGTAATCTAATCTAGGTCTACCTCTAATATGTCTCTGACTAGACCTTCATGCCTAAGAAGGTGTCCTACCAACCTATCTCGCCCATTTTTTATTGACTTCCATAGAGTACTCTGTTCTCCTATTCTTTCTAATATCTCTTCATTTCTAACCTTTTCTACCCACGTTATCCTCATCTTATAAAAATTGAAAATTACGCTTTATTTAGGAATTTTATAGTCTGTCTTGACTTTTCATTTTCATTAAAAGGGGCCCTCAAAATATGCACCCCGAATATCCAAGATCCGCCACTGCAAGTCAGTCTATCATATCACCTTCACCTTGAGATAGTAAAGAATTCGAGATGTTTTTGTAGTTACATTTTATCCTGCAACTACACGCTTTTTGCAGAAAGGAAAGTAATAATTCTTTATCTTAATGTGTTTTAACATACAGTTTGTCACAAAGGAATATCATTACGAAAGAAAATCGTTACAATTCTAACGATAATGAAAGCGTAACTATTGCTGTATCAGGAACTATATCTAATTAACTACCTATTAAAAAATGTTTCTATCAAAAAAAAATTTTTATTGACGGTATACAGATAGGTACTATTAAAATTGTTTTTCAATTAATTTGTTATTTGAGCAGTTATATTTCTGTTTGGATTTTTGCCGTGGCCAAGAATTATTTACCATTTTTTAACGTTTCATTTACGTGTATAATTCCTCTAATGAAGGTAGTTCATCAATGCTTAGTTAATGATAGGCGTTATAGTGAAACGTTGGCAAACAACAATTCATAAATGAGATTCATTCGCAGAAAAAATTAAGTCGGAAATAAGTAGGCAGTATTAAATGAGAATTATATTTCATATTAAATTATTATTATTGCGAAGAGTACCTAGCATAGGATAGGAAAGAGTAAAAGTGCGTGTCCAACCAATCTTAGGACTAACGACCCCATGATAATGATGATGATTTTATTAAAATTAATATTAGATAAATAAAAAAATGAGAACCCCCGACTGGGAACAAAATGATGTAGGAAAACATACTAAAATATATAGGTAATGTAAATCGTTTTTCCTTAAATTAAAATAGTCATTGCTATACCTCGTCTTTAGCCTGTCAATTAAAAGGTGATTAATAATTAGAGATGTGCAAAAGGGTTTTTTAAATATTAGAGTTTTTCTAGACCAACAGAGGCTCTATTTAAAGTGATGGTGTAGTTGTTCTATCTTCTAACAAATAATTCCTCTACGTGTTTCCTTATTTGCCTTTATCACCCGTTTAATTGGAAAAAAGACACTGATGACAAAATAGTTTGTTCAGCGTGAAAGATCAATCAAAATAGGGTTGCAAATAATTTTATTGATGTAAAATCAACATCAATCATTTTATGTCAAAATATTTACAACCCCATTTTAGTTTTTTTTGTCTGATCTTTTACACATTGTAATAGTCGAAAGAAATGAAATCCATAGTTTCTTTAGCTTTGGCATCATCTAATAAGTGAAGTTTTTCGAATCGTTTTCTAAGAATTTTGGATTATATGCATTTATTAGCACACCACAATATCTTATAGTTTTCAGTTTTACACGGCTGGCGTATATCAATTCGATATTGTTTTGGGGGCAGTTTTATCGTAATTCATAGAATTTCGTAGTTCCTTCCTGATTTGGCAGGTGCTGATATTAATTTGGAACTTCAAAATTCCATAGACCACGACATTAAACCCGGAAACAATATCGATTCAATCTTTTTGATTATCCATTTCCAAGGAGTACAGAATTTTTTGGGCTCTCTTCAGTTAAAGAATTAGAAGGCATTCATGGAATGTCCTTTTGTCCCCTTCCGCTTGGCAGGCTCAATACTGTTTGAAAGGGCACATGGATCTCTATATATGTAGATTTATTTAAGTTCCTACATAAGGAAAAGATCCACCCACACAACTTTCTGGTTGTGTAATTATTAAATGGAGCTATAACTGTATAGCAACCTAGGAAACAACATCTGAATTTTGAAAAACCTATTTACTGATATGCTACTCAATATGGTACCTACACAATTTTTTTTCATCTTTACCTCCATTTTGTATCTTACGACCGCCATTGTAGTTTTAAAGAAACATAACCTAGCTTATAATCATCAGATAGTTACGACATATCAATAGATATCTCATTTATTATCAAAAAAGGTAGCTAGTCACAAAATGAGTTTTTCTTATTTATCTGTAAAGACATTAACGATCCCAATGTTTGTATTAAATAAATAATATACGATACTTTGTTAAACTGTCTGTAACTCTGTAATGCCCTCGTGTGATATACTGTAAGTAGTTAAGTAATATCTAAAAAAGCTAAAACTTTTACTTGAAGCCAAAGAAAAATCAACAAGTTACTTTACAAGGATTAGGTTAAATAAAGGGACTGTTTTTTTATACAATTAAACGTATAAAATATGCATAACCCTGTTTTCAAGAGCTTATAATTATATATACAAAAAAAGATAAACAACATAAATAACTTACCACACATCGTTCCATTGCTTTCATCTCAAATGTTCAAATTTCGCACACACTTAAATGTATCTACATGCACAACACTTACTACCAAAATTTCACTACTTTTACGTTCAATAAATTTCAAAAAAACAAAACGTATCCTTACCAGTCCGTTTTTAGTAATTAAATCACTCACCGCAATTTGTAATAGTTTGATAACAGCGATGTTTTAGCGCGTGCGATTTAACGGAGGAGACTGAACAAGATGGCGTTTCTGGCACTAGCAGAGCATGCTTTCTTACGTAAAAAGAGAAGGGCACAAAAACATGCGCTTGTACCACGAATAAAAGATACTACAAAAAGTACGAAGATTGTTCGACAAAATCTGGCAGAATTTATATTACTATCACCGAGCGACATGATCTAGTGGTTAGTTAAGTGTACTGAAAAACGGCAATTTTACCAAGTGTCCTAAATTATTTTTCAATTATACATTGAAATAATAAAAAGAAATTTATAAGTATAAAACGAAAAATCCTGACTCACTTAGTCAATGACTCATCAACGTCCAAGCTAAACCCTTGGACCTAGATAGTTAAAATTTTGCACAGGTAGTTCCTTTATCATGTGTACAAGGAATAAGGCAGGATATTTCGACATTCAACCCCTAAAAGGGTGATAAGGGGTTGCAAAATTTTTGTTTATGGTCAGATTTATTTGAAACTTGGTTTTTTGCCTTTTAATAAAATTAGCCAAATACCTATTAGGCAATTTAAAAAATTTAACCTCTAAAGAGGTGAAAAGGGGTTGGAATGTTTGTACAGGACATAAGTATTTATTGTATAATTTACTTGGTCTTCATTCTCATTGATACAATTAAATATACACGTATTTTGGTAATTTTTAAAAATTAATCCTGAAGGGTTGATATGAGGTTGCTACGTTCGTATGGGGAATATTTTATTTGTGGTCAGATTGACTAGGAGTTTCGCCTTAATGCTCTTTGATATAATTAGACACCTACTTCGGCATTTTATAAAATTCAACCCCCGAAGAGGTGCAAAGGGTTATACTCAGCGAAGCGGACGGGTTATGATGGCTGCTTATATCATAAGTATTAAAAATACTTGCTGGGTTAATTTTGTACAATTTTTAAATGAATTACACTCAGTATGTTGTGGTAATAAAAATAGGTTTTTATTTATAATTTAAGCGTATTATTCATATACACATTAAAAGTATACTTATAATTATATAAAAAATGGAATAACAATTAGATATTAAACATCATATTTTTCTACAACTGTTCCATTTCTTCTGCGATAAAACAAAACAACCGTTATGAACTATATGGATTTTCATTGTAGGGACAAATTTTAAACCCGGCACTAACTGCAAGAAAGAAAGAAAAATATATAAAATCTCACAGAACAGCTAGGTACTACACGATGATCCAGTGTTTGAATATTTCATCTAATAAAATATTTATAAATTAAACAAATTAACTATCACAACGGACCAATTTTGTAAAGTTTTTGTAACTGAAGGTGTTTCCTATTGGTATTAATTATAAATTAACTTAAATTGGCACACTACCTTTAGAATGATATAAGTTTCATTTCTCTCGTTTTATAATTTATAATGAATAATAAAAAAAACGCACCAGAAGTCTTGATATTCACATATTAATATAAACAAACTTTAGTAGTGAGAAACTAGTTACTGTTTCGGTTTTTCTTTTTAGTCTACTTACTCTAATAGTTACTAAATATAAATACTCAAATTAACAACTCACCTTTGGCGTTATCAAAAAGTACTGAGAGGTGTCTTCTTTACTGGTAGTCTCTACCAAAAGTTCAAATATTCTCCTTTCATTATTCGCGTCCATACCCTGATTTATTTCGTCGACACACCTGAAAGGAACTGGAGTAATTTCCTGTAAAGATAACATAAAAATTGCCGTGGCTACGGCCCTTTCGCCACCGCTTTGGACCACGTTATTAAGCTCTTGAAGAAGCTCCGAATGTCTAAATTTCACCTTGATACTCAATCCATACTCCTCGTAATCATTTTCATTGTTACCTATTAGGAAATTAAAAAAAATAAAACAAGTAAACAGGAATATTTCATTAAATAATAAACGAGGTACATGAGAAAGCTGTAACACGATTTCTTATATTAATACTTTAGAAATTATAAAGTTTTCTATACAAAACAACTATTAAAATGTTAAAATTATAATTAAACACAATACAACTTTTTTACGACACCCTTTTATAAGACGATTTCTAGTTATCAAGATTAAAAAGCTAAGAATACTTCAATAGCATAAACTTTTCTTGCATACTTTACATGGTTTGTTAACAAAAAAGGGCCCACGGTACCATTAACTGCTACTATAAATGTTTTAGCAATAACAAAACTCACCTATGTGCATGTCGACTTCTCCTTCACATCCCATTCGTCTAAAAGCTGTGCTAAACTTCTCGTTAATTTGTTCTACCAAACTTCGCAGAGGCGACAACCATTTTTCTTGTAATGAGTTCATTTCCACAGTCAACTCATCGTACTCTGCTTTCTCTGACTTTAAAGTTTCTTCTGTGGTACGAATATTTCTTTGGCGCTCCTCATATTCCTCTAATTCACCGTCAGTTGCAGTGTTTAGATAATCCATTTTTGACAAGATCGTTTCTTTACTAGCCTCAAGCTCTTCGATGTCTTCACTAAGTTTCTCGTACATTTCTCTGAACTCATCGAATCCAGCATCAATTGGTGTACAACCGTTTGACAAATCTTTGGCTTTACGTAGTGCAACTTTGACAGAAGATACTATTCTAGAATGGGTTTCTTTAATCAATCTTAATTTTTCTTCTGCGTCTTCAATCAATTTTCGTATATCTCTTAATTTATTATCTAAAATTGCGACCTGTTTTCGAGATGAGTCTAAATTCAGTCGCATTAACTCAGCGGTGACTGACAAACTACTGTATTTTTTGAAATATTTTACAATTTCTTGCTGATGTGCTAGCATTTTACTTATAATTTCCTAGCAAAAATAATACTCTTTTTTATAAGTATACTTATGTATTATAAAATAAAACGTACTTTGATTTTCATTTGGGCCCTTTTCTCTATTTCCTCCACATTGACTGGTGTAGCATGAAGTTGATTTAATTTATTATTAAGAATTCTAAGTCTACTTTCTATGTTTTTTATCTTTTTTATAGAATCTTGCAAAGATTTAATTTCTTCTTGTGTAGATGACTTCTCTTCATTTAAAATCGATATCTAATGGTAGGTAGAAAGCTCAGTAGTATAACAAATTAAATGAAAATTCTTAGGATGTCTTAAGATAAGAAGTTTTTAAGTCTTGTAATTAAAATTCTTTATTACTCTATATTTTTAATTTGAATTTATGAACAGTATGAATGACTTATTGTTCATTTAACTTTGTAAAAATATTACTTTCTCAATTTTAGTGATTAACTTATTTGCAGTGTTTTATTTTTTATTTTAGGCTAAGTTATTAAACAGTAAAATCTGAATTCATAGCAGCACTACTTTTATAAAAACTTACCTGTTTTTCAATACCCTGTTGTTCATTATTATGCTTTTCACAAACAGTTTTGCACCTATTGTAGTGTTGACGGATTGCTTCAATACGTTCAGTATCAACAGAATTAGACAAACTACCATCTGACCTTATCTGAGTTTGTCGAACACTTTTGGCTCCCGTGTACTTTGAAAATGTGGTAGAAAAATGGTAAGTATCTTAAAAGAAATGTTTTCAGTTTGTACTTGTAGAAGTTATAAAGAACATATTTTGTTATTTTTAATTCGAAATAAACTCAAAATGTGCAACAGGGTGATTCACTTGTAATAATAAATCTCGAAATTACAGGAATAGAAGACAAAAGTGTACCACTCAAAAAAAATATCCTACACATTTTTGAAACCAAGGTTTCTATTTTCCGTTTTCAATAAACGCCGACGTCCTATTATACTAATAACAACTAAACTCATTGCATATGAAACACGAAACCCTCTGCACTGTAACAAAGACCTATTTTTAAGTAACATACCACTGAAGAAATTTGTAATTTGTTTGGGAACATGCTCAAATATAGAATTCGTGTGATGATTTCCAACTGGTATATTATGAATCTGATAGTTCTTGCACAAATATTTCAGTATTGGCTCAGGTCCCGTTATCAGATCTTTGACATAAGCGAAAAATCCCAATCCTTCCAAATGGTCCAAAGGTATTCTCGGTTTATATGAATCCAAACTTGCACCTTCATTTCCGGAATGAACAACGTTTATATTCCAGTTCTTTTGGTCCCTAATTGTACGAATAAGGACATTCATATCCTCCTTAACGGTACAGGTAAATGCTAGTTTATCTCGCATTGGAATACTATTTTCAACAAAAATTGCATGGCTTTGATTTTTTACGTTTAGCTGAAAAGAAAAAGGAGAAAACTCGAACTAACACACAGAAGTTTCGTTACTTAGATCTTAATTTAAAACTGTTTTCAATATACATCTATACTTTTATTAAGTACAGACTTTTTACATTCTAATGGTACTTATTTATGTATTGTACCGCCGATTAACTATACTTATCGCCATTTGGTCTTTGAAACATATTTTTTAACAACAAATAGATAATGCTTTTCTACAGAAAAAGATACTAGCCAATGATGTGTACTCCTAACATCGGTAATGAGTAAAATAATAACTACACAACATGCTGTTTAAGACAAAAGTTACCAAATCAAACGTTTGATAACTGTCTTCTTTCTCTTTCTCCCTTTTTCTGTCTCTCAAAGTTTAACTACAGGCAGCAGTGATTGAATAGCGCGCGCTTCCCCCACCTTAACTTTCCCTTACATATCCAAAACACTCACTTTGACTAGAAATTATTTAATTATTCTACTTTACTTATTTTGCTACAAAGTGACTTCTTCAGATGGAAAAGTCAACTTTTTTATTAATAAATTTAAATGTCTTCCACCTAAAGAAGTCACTAAGTTGCAAAATAATTTTAATGGAATCAATAAATGATTTTTACATAACTGAAACATGTGTATTTTCTTGTACCATCTTTTTAATACTGCAGAGACTGATTTTCGATGGACTTCAAAACTATAAATACTTTAATAGTAACGTTTTAGAAGATTTAAAAATTGTGGTATACAATTGTTACATACTTCAAGCATCATAGGTTCAAACACTTCCCCATTAAATAAGTGTTTGTTAGATCGCAACCAATTCACGGTTTTGTAAGCATCCTTGTCAATCCTGCATAACCATCGCATACGTTGCTCCTTAACATTTTCCAATCTTTCTAAATCATTCTCATGAAGACGCTTTTCATGTAAAGCCTGCGTTTTTAAATCTTCTATTTGGTTCTTTTTGTCAACCAAACTACTCATTTGTGTACTGATTTTTCTTATATTTTGATTTAAAGAGTGAATTTTTGCAAAAATGCCTTCCTCTAAAAAGAAGTATATCAGACATTGAAAACTGTAACACCCATACTGCATACAAAAATTTACAATTCATATTATTTTCTTCTACTAATCTGTATTGCTTATACAATTAGAAAATGAATTTTATACATTAATACACAGGACAGCGTATTGCTAAAAATTTTCTATTTTTAAAGTGTAATTTTAGGAAAACCAGAGTTATAATGACAGGACACCTTCATAAAAATAAAATACAAAATTAATAGAAAAACTCACCACTATTAATTTCATTATGAAGTTCTTCTCTCGTTCTATTCCAATGTGCAATTTGTTCAGATGTTGTCTTTATTTCATCTTCTTGTTGCCTCACTTGTTGTAAACTGTTGTTTTTTTCTTCAATGGCTCTGTTTATGTTTGCTCTTAAAACATCAAACTGCTCTATTTTATTACTAGTAATTTTTTCAGCTTCATTCACTTGACTGAACTAAAGAAAAAATAGCAAAATATAAAAGCCAGCAAAGTAAAAACATTTGACAATCAAGTTTTTTACTGCACCTAAGTGGCACTGAAAATTGTATTTCTGAAATTTTAAGTTTTCAGGTAAATGCAATTGAAATTTAGCAAATATATAAATAAATACTTACAGAAGTCATAACTTTTTCCTGAAGATTATTTATAACAGATTTTGCTTTTCTTAAAGCATTTTCAATAGGCTTACTTTTGGTACGGTGTTGCTGTAATATTTCAGCAGTTTTATTTTTATCAGCTTCCACCTCATCCATTTTTTGTGTAAGCAGTTCATACTGCAGCCAAGCAATTTTTCTATCCAGATGTTCTATTTGCTGTAAATACTTCTTCCTCTTATTAAGACTCTGAATTTTTCCTTCTAATCTCACATTAGCATCATGTAATTCTTGCAATTTCTGCTTATGCTTCTCCAAAGATATATTTAACTGTTTATGCCTTTCTCGTTTCTTTATTAAATTTTGCTGCTTTTCAATAAGATCATTCCTACAAACTGCAACCTGCATTTGCTGTAACAGTTGCTGTTTATTCATTTTAGCAAAATCTGCAACTTTATCCTGTGGCAAAAATTGGCACAAATTATCCACCTGGATATTAAACTTCTTTATAATTTTATCAATCTCTTTAAATGTGATTTCTTTATCATTCAACTTCCACAATGACTTTTCTCTTAAATCAAACTGACGTGTGATTGATATCTGTTCACTGTCATCAGCTTCCAAATAGATAGTTACAGTAGCATTTTCACAATTATATTTTACATATTCTGAAACCTAAAACAATAACTTTATTTAAATTTTTAATGATAACAGCAGGAATACTAAGCAGTATTACTTTATGCCCTCTTCCTATTGTTTTTGGATTTCCCCCTAACCCCAAAATAATAGCAGCAACAATTGTGGATTTTCCTGTACCATTAGGACCTATTAACATGTTTAAATTCGGACCAGGAAGCATTTCAGCATACGCATACGTTCTAAAAAATATGAAACAGTAAGTATTGTATTTATGTAGAGACAAAATGATTAACCAACTTACACAAAATTACGAACAATTACTTTACGAATAGAACCCTTTTTAAAATGCATATTTCTTTAAAGAAGAAAAACATTCACTATATACATTTCAAACACTGTTTTAAAAATAAAACTCACATTTCGGCGCTCATCTCTTAAGATTAAAAACCTTAATAACTCAAAATTCAAACAAAAATTAAACCGCTTGACAACTATAGTCGTATACACAATAGTATATTGGGTAGTCCCCATAGATAAGTAGTCCCCTTACAAGTCTTGCAAACAATCTATGAGCTCTTCTCTCCTCACTATATAAAACGCGGGAACAACTATTCAACTTTACCCATACTGTTCATAAAAAACCATAATTCTTTGGGAAGAACAGAAAAATTCATAAAACAATCACAAAACCAAACACAGATGGATAATGCATACACAGATATTTATACATTTATATGAATATCATACGTGCGGTATGTGTTGATTTGCCAATATACAATTACACAGTAATTTTAAAATATAAATATTAAAATAAAAAATTCTTTACTATTTATGTATACTAAAGAATTTCACTAATCGTAAACCCAATAAATATAAAATCAAGATTGTTCTTATCAAATGCGAAATATCAAAGTCAAAAGTCAAATGTAATTGCTTTTTTGCTTTGCTGAAAACAGTTTACCTTATCTTAACTTTTTTAAATGTCAGTTTCTTTACTGGCCTTTAATTTAGTATATTATAACGCATTTGAAAATACATTAACATGCTATTAAATGATGAACTTCAGGACTTACAACTCGATAAGCCTAAACGTGGAAAGGTAAATACTGTATAGAAAAATACTTTATATTCATCCACGTACTGTACTATTGTTTACTTAAGAGTGAAGACCAAATTGCTAAACATACTATTGATCCTTCTTTGGAAGCTAAGCCAATAGAACGAGCATTACATTTATTAACGTAAGTAAATTATTATCCATCTTTAAAAAATAGGTACCCTTGGGTACCTTTTTCACCTCTGGATTTTTTGAACATATCTAGCTAGAAACAAAATAAAATTCACCGTTACCATAAACACTTCTAAAGGAATCCTTGCGTAGATAATAGATACACATAGGGTAATCCTTGTTTACTTTCAATAATAAGAAAGTAGGGTTATTTTGAAGAGGGTTGTGTTTGGTATAATTATTAATAATCCTGTTTTAACAGTTTAGTTTATAATAATTTAATCTACAAGTGTCAACTGATAATTAAGATGCAGAAGGATCAATTATTTAATTTTCGTAAAACAATTATATTGATATGATAATTTTGTAAAGAAAGTTATTTTGCGTTTTTATCAGTCTTTTAAGACATTTTGGGTAGTAAACCAGAAATGTTATGTTGACTTACACTTGGGAAATAGGATCGCTAGCAACTAACAAGTACTTGTAGGTTATATTATATCCTTTTATTATTTTAGGTCAGATACCTACATTATTTCTATTTTAGTAAAGGAGATGATATACAGAAGATTAGTGTCATTCAGTCATTGCCTCAGCTTTTACAATCAAATGCACAAGCAGTGCATTCTCGCGTTATTCCAAAAATTCAGCAGGATTTACCAAACTCCTCATCTGAATTTAACATTATAGTCAGTAAAACATATAAAGCATTGATTCAAAAAAAAATACCAATTGATGCAATGAATGCAGTATATCAAGGAATTGAATCGCGAGATCCAGTTGTTTCTAATGCATGGTTTGATACATTAATTGATGTTGTAAACGTCCTTGATGAGGCACAGGTAAAAGGAAAGGTATATAAATGATCATAAAATTTTGATCTTCAAACTATTTTTGTGTTAATTTCTTTTTTTAAGGTTCTGCCATTTGCTAGAGATAAATCTAGTTTAAACCAGCCACTTTATCATAGGGTAGCAAGCTGTAGAATATTTGGAGCAGCAGCCGGTTATGCAAAGTTTTCATCAGCAGAGTAAGTAATTTTGGTGAGTGCATTTGTGAGAAAACTATAAATGTTTCCAATGAATGCACAAGTATTGCCAGATCTAAAAAATATCTTAAAGCTGTTGATTTTGTATTTTCTTTTTAAGCGTCAAAAGAGAAGTTTTACCTTCAGCTCAAAGCTTATGTCAGGATTGCCACCCAGAAGTCAGAGGTGCAATAGCTACTCAAATTCCACTTATTATGAAAGGTATTTATCTGACAAGAACATATGATTGTGGTTGATATAAAACTTTGAGGGAGTTTTTGTCAATACAGGATTAGGCTCAAGCCCAGAAAAATCTGTTTTACTTCCATGTCTAGTGGAACTTGCCAATGATGAAAAAGTTCCTGTTCGATCAGCAGCAGTATCTGCAATAGTTGGCTGTTTACCATATCTTACTCATGGTATGATGTACTATTTCCAATTATCTTAATATAAAGTGACACAGTTCTTAATAAACATTGTAGAAACAGTTAAAGATACTATAGTACCACTAGTAAAGCGACTATATGAAAAATACTTGGAGGCAACAGATTCAACCACTGTTATGTTGGCCAAGGATATGGGAGCTATAATGAGAACAATAGAACCATACTTAACTTCATCAGTTGTTGAATGGTATTTGAAAACATATAAAACTCTAGCCGCCAAGGGTAAGCCAGCATCTGTTCGAGAAACATTAATATCTCAGGTAAATAATGATTTAGAATTTCTTAACCTAATATGTTTCTGCTACTTTTGACTTCCAATCGTGTCGTAAACAGTAATAATAGACAAAAATTATTATTGTTTTAGGCAGTCATGTGTAGAGATCATTGCGCAGCAAACTTGCCCACGTTAGCTGAAATAACTCTGGTTAAAATTCCAGACAAATTTGATTTGTTTTATGCAACATTCAAAAGTTTAGCGGGGGATCCCTGTTATATCATAAGGCGCACAGTAGCTGAACATTTCCATGAAGTTTCAGATTTAATAGGTAAAATTAGTTAATAATATCATTATGACGTTATTGATTTAAATTTGTTTATTTTTTTCATATTTGCCTACTAAAAAAAATAATAAATCTTTTTTGAGCTGGAATGATTTCGAATTTTTATCTAAAGTGGTAGTTTATTTCACTTCCAGTGTATATTTAAAATTGAATTACTTGATAACAACTTAGTGGTTTCTATTTTTGATTTAAAGAAGCAGTAACTTTTTTAAGGGAGCAGAAACAACACATTGAAGCCAGAACTAATTAATTTATTAAAAGATGACGTTGACGAAATCGTGCAGGCGTTAGTGATGAATTTGGATTTGACTTTACAATCATTTACTACGCAACGTTACCTTTCGAAAAGAAATTCGGAACCAATGACTCTTGAAATAGGAAATGCTTTACTCAAATGTCAAAATCATCTGGTGAAAGGCAACAATTGGCGATTACTAACTAATTTTTTAAACAGATTGCAGTACTTAACCAATTGCATGCCTTCTGACTACCTCCATCAAAATTTTACTCCTACAATTTTAAATATTGCAACGGAAGGGGTAAATTCATCACTTATAAATTTGTGAATGTATTATATTACAGAGGTAATACTTTTCAGAGAGCTAAGCCTGTAAGATTAGAGGCTTGTCGCACCCTACTATGGTTTTTAAGCAACAACGTCAAGGAAACGCAAAGGCAATGGTTACGAGATAGTTTAATATCAAATCTATGCTATTCTCCGAGTTTTTATTCCCGCCAAATTTTCGTGAAGTTATGCTCAGACGCTTTGGAAATATTCAACAGCAAATATTTCAAAGATTACTTCTTCATACCGCTTATATCACTGATAGGTATGTACACTTTTTCTTATTTCCTTGCTATATTATTATTTAAAATAATTTTCTTTTAGACGATAAAATACCAAATATACGTTATGGTATTGTATTACTGATGCCTAGACTTAGATTGACTCTCACGACCCAAGACTCCGTTTTACATAAACTCTACAATAATGCGTTACAAAAATTAAAATTCAACGAAAAGGATAGAGATGTGAAAAGATGTTTTGAAGCTAACAAAAAAGATCTCGAAGGGCCCATATCGCCAACGGTATTAGAAAACATGGCAAAACTAGAAAAAAAGAAACAGGATTCAGAACAGACGATGTATCTTAGAAGAATTAGTGATACCGTATATCAAAGTATGTACTACATTATGAAAATTAATATCTTAGCAGTTAACAGTTTTTTTAACGATATCACAGTACATGTAGTATATCGCCATCTATTGATATTTGCCGCTAACAATAGTGTTTCAAAATATTTAACAAGGGCCTTACGAAGGTATCTACCGGTCTTATTAAATCTATGACGCTGCTTATATATTATAGGAACGTAAACTTAATTCATAAAGAACATTAAGTTCTTATAATTTTTAATAGTAAATTTTAATTAAATTATAGAAACAACATTACCCACCGAAAATATTAATAATCAGACAATCAGACCTCCTACTGCTGCAAGTGGGAACAAGCCTTCAAATAACAATATAGTAAGAAGTACTAATGAGAAAACGCCAACGTCAAACTTAAGTACTCCTAAAGTGACTTCTTCTAATACAAAAGGGTATGTATCTTACGTGGTGGTGGAGAGTGAAGTTAGGCGTGAACCGATTTATTATACATTCTCGTACTCTAGACAATTTTTTTACAACTTCAATATTAACTTATAAATATTTACACATTTGATTTACTTTTAAGCAAAGGCTTTTGTACCACTAACTTCGTTTTCTTTTCTAGCGACATGACATTCCTAGAACAGCATTTTTACGTAGACGCAGGCATTGTATTTCCAACTAGTAGTAGTAGTAGTAATAGTAGTAATAATAATAACAATAACGATTGTTCAACATCGGTCAAAGTACACAAAGAAAAGGTCTTAATAAACAAGCCCGATCAGCAGGTAACTTTAAACGTAACCGACGATGACAAATATAAAATTAGAATGAAAAGTCTCCAATTAAATTATACAAATATTAATGACACCCGGGGTATCCCAAATAAGCGTCATTCGAGTTTTTACCCTTCGGAGGGCTTCGGGAGCATCAATGATAAAATCGAAAAGCGCAAAAGTCTTGATATAACATTAAAAGAAAATAGCAAAATTCCAGTGTGCTTAAAAACCAACACTCTTCGTCATGATAAATCGATGGAAGCTTTCCGAAAGTTAAATGTAAAAGCTATAAAACCTAATGTGACGACTAACAGTCAAAGTAAATGTATTTCATCATTGGATACCAAGAATACTTCAAACAAAAGCAATTCATCAAAAGAAAATAGATATCGAACGTCGCTACTTCCTGTTGCGAAGGTGTAAGTAAATAAAGTGCAAAATAACTTTAAAAGTAAAAAACTGAACAACAAGAAAACATACGGTTACAGCCAGTTAGTGATTAGTTAGTAACTCACTAAATAAAAAACTAAGTAAACATGCTTTAAGTTTAATCATTTGGTCATAACTGGGACATCGGATACGTAAGTCAGACTGGTTGATTATTTACTGAAGAATGAGAGAACATAATTTTTTTTTAATAATAAATACGAATTTAACTTGTTGCGTGGATTTAGTACTGAATAAATTAGTTTCAACAGTAATTATACAATTTTACATTTTATGAATATTTCGTTACTTAACGCTGTAAGTTTGTTTTTGTGTTGTAACAATTTTACTTACCGCTTTTATAAGTTTTTGTAATAAGTTGAAATGTTTGTAGAATTTGTATTTAAGTGGCTGCTTAATAGAAGAAATAGTA